TATTACATATTTTTCTACCCTAAATGAAATGGACAAGCCTATCATCATGAAGCTTTTGACCAAAGGTTAGAAAATTGGTGCCATCTTATTATAGAATCTTTTGCATACTTGCGTGATATTTTCATCATTGTTGTATGCATGCAGATGATACAGCTAGTGGTACTGTTGTGCTGTAAAAAAAACCTCATTTTGAGTCACTCTTAATTGCATTTAGCAATGCTGTATTTAAGAGATTAATGAATTGTTTCACAGGCAGTTGTGGTAAGCATTGATCCCCGTCGAGTATACATAAATACTCCTAATGATGTGCCATTCAAGTCTGTTAAGGTTACTATTCCAGGTAGATTACCTTTCATGGTGTATGCTAGTTTGATTTTACATCCATTACATGCTGAATTGCTGACAAGAATACCTAATTTGTTCTTAATGATTTTCAATGTCAGATTAGTTAAAATTAAACTCTAGTATGATTTTATGGCAAATAGCGATTGTCAATTCTTTATTTGTTGTTGGAACCAAATGTGTTGAATCTTGAATCATTTGGTTTTTATACGGGTCTTTTCTGCCTAATTTATATCATGATTGCCTTAGTATTCAACTATAGGACTTATTGCGCTTATACACTGTATTTCATGATGTTGTTATCATCAATAGCAGGTGACTCTCCATCGACATCTTCGGTTTTGAATCTTTACGTTTAAAAAATAAAATAAAATAAAATACAGAATTTTTGTATTTGCTTTTTTAAGGATCACAACTCACAATAAGTGGTCAGCATTTTGGGTGAAATATTGATCATTATTTCCATTCTAACTCCATTTTAAGCATTATTGTTTTATTTAACAATATCTTAATTGGGATCTTCCTTTGCATCATATTCAGTTATATTATGTCTTTTTGCACCTTGTGTTAATAGTTGTTATACTAATTTGTCAATTGGCTATAAAAAACTGTTGGACTAGTACTTGTTTTAGTTTGAGGTATAAAATTGTATTTGTTAATGTTTAAATTTATATATATATATATATTTTAATTGTTTCTCTATCTTCAATTATCTCATGTTCAGATAATATATTCATTTCTTTATGATTTTATTTTTTCTAAATGCCTTGATGGATTCCAGGTCCAAATGGAGAAACATATGCTTGGTATCAGTGCACAGTAAGTAAATTCTCTGACCTACTATGTGATGATTTTAGATTACTTTTAATTCAAAGCTTAATGTAATCGCCTCTTGGAAGACTGTTTATGTCCCTCATAATTGCTGAATATATTTTTATTTTCTTCACATTCTAATAATCATGAATAATAGCTATGCACCATCACTATTAATTTTAGATGCAAATAGAACTAAATAGTATGTATATTATGATCTCCTAACCTTTTTAGTTTGATGTCTCCTACCCTAAGCTTGAGCTCTCTAAGGAATTAGGAATGATTTTTATTCTAGGCTTTTCTATGTTTTATCATACATGTGATCAGAGTAGGTCTTTCTGAAGTTATTTTGAGTCTTTTGACCCAACATTAGTTTGCACATAAGAGGTTATGAGACTATGAGTTATAGACAATGCATGAAAGACAGCTGTTGTACCTGTACCCATTATTGCTTCACATGAGGAGTTAGAGAAGCTTCCTTCAATTGATTGCAGTAGTGTATACAAAGGTTTGGATGAGGGACTCTTCAAGAACATTTTCATGTAAACAATTTCTCTGTTGCTTGACTCAGCCCCCTAAGTTTTTCTATTTTTCCTGCTTGCAAATATGAGATGGAAGGCAAAAGTCCCTTCAAAGGTGAGAGCTTTTGTCTGACATTGGCATTGGGTAGGAATCGTAGGATTAATACTAATGACATTCTTCAAAGGCATAGGCTGACTAGTTCCTTCACCTGATGTTTATTAAATGCTAGTCAGTCTTGTTCACAGTTTTCGGTCATTGTGAAATTGCAAGTTACCTTTTGCGCAGAGTGCCTAGTATTAAGAACTATGGATTATTGGCTACAAATTCGTTTTGCAGGGTTAGGTAAGGACAAGGATATGATGTTGTGGCTCATTGCTTATGGTAATTTTGTACTGTGTTTGGTGAATTGAACCAACTAAGTCATCTTGGTGATTCCCTTTCATAAATCTAGGGAACTAATTACTATGACTGAGGCAAAACCATATATTATAAAATGAAAAAAAAAAAAAGATTTTATAAAAAGAAAAAAAGTGCATCTGTTCTCTCTCACCATTTTTTTTTTGGTTTTGTCCTTTTTTTTTTTTTTTTTTTTTTTACCTTTCATACTCAATAATGAATCATCACTATCGTGACATGAATCATACTATAGACTTAATTATGAATCATAATTCAGACTTAATAATGGTACCGTTCTTTTGCTTCATGTATCATCCTGCTTTAGAATTTTGTCAAGGTGCCACTTGTTAAATTGCCTATTACTTGCATCGTCATGAGGTGATGGTATACAACTTCAGTCCATTGGGTCATTGGGATGAAGATGTTGTATGGAGGAGTTTGGTCCCTATATAACTTTGCACAAGGATTAGATAAATCCAGTTCCCTTTCTCATGAATGTTGTATGGTCAACTCCATCAATGTAATGTGATTGTGAGGGAAATCAACAAATAGTTTGGTGTATAGTGATTTTCCATGGTGGAAGTGTTTATGTAACATGTAATGTTCAAAATATCTACTGTCTTATCTATCTAGCTGAATTAAAATAAAATAAAAAGAAGTGTTTAATAATATTAGCTTTTCATTTAGTTTATATAGAATGTGTAGGTAATTCACCATATACAAGGACATGAAATTTCAGATGATATATTGGGAAAAAAAAAAAATGATATACTCCGTGCTAACTACTGATTTTGAATGCTAATATCTTTAACTCAACCTGATATACTAAATACTTTTTTCATCGATTGATATGTTTAGACTTGTATGTTTGGTCTACCCGTTGTTAAACACAATTCAAATGTTGTTCCAAAGCTATGTAATATCTAGTAAATGAGATATTGCACTTTCGTATGTTGATTGGCAGCAAACATGTTTACGCTCCTTTTTCAAGCAGGAGTTCATAAAAGTCTAGTTGAATAATGTTTCTTAAATGTCTTTCTATGCTTGCGTGGTGCTATGTTGCTGTCTAAAATTTTATTAATATAATGGTGCACATGCTTTTTTTTTCTCAAGGTCAATGGTGGGAGAGAAGGCCGCCCAATCGGAGCGTATGAGCTTGCAAAAGCTGTGCAGGAGTTAGGAGCTGGTGAAATATTGCTTAACTGCATAGATTGTGATGGTAGGCTTTCCTGCTTGACAGAGAATTGAATGTCTTAAGACTCTGAATACTATGCTTGGCGTGACATAGCTGACAGAAACATGTATACTTTGAATTAAGAGTAGTGAATGTATTGTGGACATGTTTTTGACTTAAAAACCCTGCTTGTATGTTTTTCCTGTTTGGATTTTGTCTATTGTATTGTTCCTTCTAGATCAGCAGTAGTTGCATGAATGTGCTTTCTGTTTTTCTTTTCTAATAAGTGTTGTTTCATGATCATTAACGGAAAACAATTATTGATTATGATCTTCTATCATTGAAGAACCCCTAAAACTCATGTTTTAACCATTTGTCAATGTCAATTTGCTTACAAAGATTTTTTTTCTTCACATTTCCAGTCTTAGAGGTCATATTATGCATTCAAATGATCCTTGAATAGGTTCTTTAGTGATCTCATGTAAATTTTGCAGCTGGGTGTTATTTTTTAGTTCAAGATTACACATTAGGATTTCTTTGTTTATTTACTTTTTTTTTTTTTCCTCCTCATTTTACTAGGGTAAAGGTTTGGATCTGTTTTTGGCAGTTTTACAAGATAATATTGACATCAATTTGTTTCCTGACCAGAAAATTAAAATTGCATCGTGTGAATTATGATTCTCATTACCTCCTTTCTCGTGTTATTAATCATTATGCCAGGTCAAGGAAAAGGATTTGATATAGATCTTGTAAAGCTCATCTCTGATGCTGTTAGCATCCCTGTAATTGCAAGTAGTGGTGCTGGTTCTGTTGAACACTTTTCAGAAGTTTTCAAGAAGACAAATGCTTCTGCTGCTCTTGCTGCTGGAATATTCCATCGCAAGGAGGTAAAGTTTACCCATGGATTCCTCTTTTAATAGCTTTCAAGCTTCTAAATGACACTTTAGAAGGATGATTTGTGTATTATTTCTCATGTAGTAGTTAGGATTTTCCTGTTATTTCCCTCTCTTATGTTGAAAAATGCTTATAAGTTTACAACCCTTCTAGCTATCAGAAATCATAAGCGATTCTTTGCCTATTTCCTTGAAATATAAAATACACCCTCTGCCTGTAAAAGAAAACTAGTGTTGGTGGTGTAATTTGTCAACTTGTTGAAGTTTTTCTTTTTGAACATTTACATCCTAAATCTGATTTAATTTGCATAATCTTTGTCACATAGGCATATTGAAACTTGTTATTTGTGGCCAGGTACCTGTTCAATCTGTGAAGGAGCACTTGTTGAAGGAAGGTGTTGAAGTCAGAATGTGAAGTAATCCTACTGATATGGGGTGAACCTTAGCCTGATTGAAAGGGAAAGTCGTCTATTTTTTGGGTGGAAGTCTGATTGATAGTTCTGTTGTAGTGTTGTATGTTGTACTTATAGTGGTCTTCTGCCTAGAACTCCCTCTGTCCCCAACAGATTGTCTAAAACCCTTTACTTCACTTGTTTAAGGCAAAGCCAAATCTGTGATCACAGCCTTCACGGGTGGGCAATTTTAGTGATGAGGAAAGAGATAAAGAGAGCGAGGTTGCAAGGGGGGAAATTTACCAATCAAGCTATGGAGCAATTTTTTAGGGACGGAGGGACTACAAGTTGATAATCTTTCATAATCGACTAACCTCAAGAGTTCGTATTCTCAGGGCAATTGAGTAAATTATTGGATTCTTTTTTGCAACTCTAAACTGCTTGATTCACTTACCATTCCCCTAAATATTTTTTTTTTTTTTTTTTTTTTTTTTTTTTTTTTTTGAGGGGACCATTCCCCTAATTTTGTAATGCATACATTTTGCCTAATCTATGAGCAATAAATGTTGATTTTGGCATACATTTTGCCTAATTTATGAGCAATAATTTATGAGCAATGAATGTTCACTTACCATTCCCCTAATTTTGTACTGCATACTTATTAAGAAAATGCCAGCTTTACTAAAAGCATTTTATTTCTTCATAAAGTCCTTGTTCTTTATGTTACTCGTAATGTAATGGGTGAATCTCTTGGTAAAATGTACTCAAAAACAAAAATAAGTTACGAAAAAGATAGTGTTGGGTTTTTTTATTTTTATTTATTTATTTATTTTTTTTTTTTTTTTTTTTTGAGTAGTACGAAAAACATAGTTGACTATGTGACTTGTTTGATTATTTCAATTAAGCAGGAATTGAATATTTGAAGTACATTAGCCTTCTTTTACACATGATTTTTGTGTCTAGGAATTATTGATTTCTTCTCATTGATTCATTTTTCGTAATTGATCAGAAATTATAAACCAATAAACTTAGTTGCTGCCACTACTATAGTACAGAATCAGTTCTATCCAAAATCTGAGCCATTTACGTGTTTACACTGTCAGAGGTGTTGTAGTACTAACGCAAAACTTTTGACAACAAAAATGAGAAAGAATTACCAATCTCAGAGTTAGACTATATGTTGATCAGTATAGCATTCAACATATAATGCATAGTTAGGAATCCTTATCAAATATATGTACAATGTAGATGTAGACAAGAAACTGATACCAGATTGACTACCAAGAGATAACATTAAAAAACCAGTAAGCGTCTAGCAAATGAAACAAGTCTGTTGTTAGAGATTCGAACCACAGTTCTGCAATACTGGTTCTGATTACAAGTACCATATGTGTAAGAAAGGAGATAGGTTTGCAGCATGTACAGGAGTCCAATATGATTACTGAGGGTTGGTTCACTTAAAAGTTATTAAAATGCGGAGTAACTGTCACAAGATAGTGCAAAAGTTTGAAGATTTAAAGAGATACTGACTGCAGGATTAGCCTTTACAACAGCAGACAGAATATACATTCATGTTAATATCGTGAAAAACATGTATATGTTTGTGACTATTGTGAGAAATAGTTAGTTGTTAACATAATGTACCTACCTACGGACCTACCTACCTGGGTTTCTAAAGTAGTCCATCCACCACAGACTTATCATGGAAGGTTCCAAAAAATGAAGTAATGGACTGCAAGGCAGAAACTGACTTCTCTTTGTATTCCTTCAGTGACTCCAATTCTGCTTCCAGTGACTTGATTTCCGGTAGCAGGTTTGCCTCCATGGTTCTTTTCGAACTCAGCATCTCTTCTTTATGCTGGATATCCTTTTTGGTATGAGCCAGATCACTCTTTAGAGTAGGGTACTGGCTAAGATGAGAAGCAAGCTTCTCAAGGTCGTTACATCGCTTGCAGAGCCATTTCACATTGATCCCTACAGCTTCACCAAGTTGCAGCACACTTCTTAGGTGGTTCACATGATGGGAGCGTAGGCCACTTAAGCAGACTGATTCAAGGTCCTGAACAGCTTTGCATATGTTCTCCAATGGAACCTTGGGATCAATTTTGCAATCCAAAGCAATATCTCCATGCTTTTCAAGAATTTTTGTAAGAATGGGGGCCAAGTCAGATTTGATGTTGTACCGGCCAACTTGTGCTCCTACACAATTTGAGCTGATGTCATGGTAAGTACCTGCAATTTCTAAAATGGAGGCTGGTATTTTCACAAAACTTGACTCTCTAAAGTTTTCAGACCCACTTTTGGGAGATTCTTCAGCATCAAGATCCAAGATTACAATAGGAGCAACAGATGGAGAGATAAATGCTTCGGGCTTTTCTTCTTCAAGATCAATAATAACGGGAGTCGTACTTAAACCTTTCTCAAGAGGTATCTCATGCTGATCTTCTAGGGGAGGAAATCATGGTAGACCTGAAAACATACCCCAAAAATGGGTAAATAAGGTGTAGAAAGGAGATAAAATATCTAATACAGGAGCAGGAGGGTGTTAATAGTATAGAACAGTTGAAAGTGATTAAAAAAAACATTTCTAATTATCCTTTTCACATACCATCATCAGCTGGGGAATTAATTTCATGAAAAACTTTTTTGCCAACAGTATATTGATGATCAGCTAAGGGTTCATCTTTGGAGCAAGGATTGCTTTGTCCATTGCTCGAAGGATTGGTCTCTTTTACCTCAGAATCTTCTTGATTACCAACCAAAAGGAATAAAAAGGCTTTATTCATGGGATTAGAGGCTAGATAGGCATTGCTGTCTTGTGCTTGAAGCTGTAAGGATTCCAAAAGTTCATTCGGAAGCAATGCACCATGCAGCTTAATACCTAAACATACAGAAGGTATAAAATTTAAAGAGAAGGCCAATATTCCTTAGTATTATAATAATTAACAACGAAGGAAATATATCACCCAAAATGAATAATATTAATGAAAAGCAACTTTGATTTGGCAAACTTTATACCATCTTCATGGTTCAGCTGCTCTGCCTCAGCTGATTTTCCTTCAATGATTCTGCTCTCCCCGACTGTTGCAGACCAATTAGATTCCTGCTGCTGGGAATTTAGGCCTTTGATTGGCTTAACTGAAATGGTCTCCTCACCACTGTCTTTTGAGTCAAAAGGGTTTCCAAGACTAGAGCGGGAAACATCACATATATTCAAGGTCTCGTTATTTTGTGATCTTTCTTTTGTAAGTGTGGTCAAAGGAGGAACAAGTTCTTTTGGATCTTCATCAATGAAACAAACAGGAAAGAAAAAAACAAAAAATGAGAAAACTAATCAACTCATTTTTACAAACTAGAGCATATGATCACCAAAAATTTGTTATATAAACAAGAAGTATTTGAGTGAATTGAGTCTGACCAATGATCGAAAAGATATACCTTGGCCAGCTGACGTATCATCTACTTTAGAGGATTTCAATTTTATAATGTACTCTGAAGAATCAATCATATCATTCGGCAGACTAGTGCTCAATTGTTTCCCTAAAGTAATGACAGAGGACTCATCAACAGTTGTGGTTTTAAGTATCTTTATCTTAACTCGAGGTAGACATTCTTCTGGATGAGGGGCTTCTACAATTGGGCAGGTTTCAGCTAGGCTTTGTTTGTTGGATGTCTGAAATAGCATAGTGGCTTTCTGGTCATTGCCTGATACCACTTTCCTTTCTTTACCTGTGTTAATGCCCACATATATAAAGGTCAAACATGTAACCACAAAATCTAGTTGTACCTCATTGAAAGTGAATCTAGTAGTTTAAGACCCGTCATAAATCTTTGCACCTCCTCACTTAAAGAGCAATATCTTACCTCTTTTACTCCTAGCTCTCTTGCATTCAGGCCTTAATGGTGGTATGCAATTGCGCCTTAGATGAGACCTTTTATTTCTAGTCTTCTTGAGTGTTTTCCACTGCTTGGATATAGCACCAGTTTTAGTTGATAAAGAGGCACTAAGACTGGCTGTTTTTTCTTCTGGGCAGTCCACTGCTCTTACACCTTTGCTGGTCCCATTTTTAACAGCACTTGGCCGGTAGCATTTAGATGGACTTTCTTGTCGAAATTCTTTTTCTTTAAATGTCCCCCAAAGATAGTATTTTCCTTGAATTTCTGAACAAAATCAACTGTCAATATCATTAAGTATTATCTATCAATATCAATGGAAGTAAAGAATATAATTTCCAATCAACCCTTTGATTGCATCCATCAAATGGAAGAAAAATTATAAAGTACTCCCTCCGTTTCTTTTGTTCATGTTTCACTATTTGTTAAGTTTTCAAAGCACGCATCTAAGCTTAAAAATCTTGAAAACATATTATAAAAATTATAAAATTCTGATGTTTGGGAACTACACATTCAAGACAGATCAAACTAGATCCCACGTGACTATATTATCAACGAAGTATAAAATTAAACTTGCAATCGAATATTTGAATTCAAAAAAAAGAACACCAAAAAGAGACGGAAGGAGTATTAAGTTTCAAATTATGAAGTATAAAGTTGTAAATTACTGCGTTTCTCTGGAGCCGATATCTCAAAGGAAGTAAAAACCAACAACTCTAAGTTGTCCATCTTGGCTGTCATGGCTAGGTCATTTGATTTCATGTACTCCATCAAATTGTTGTAATCAGCCTCAGTCCTGTTACAAAAGCTAAACAAAAAAAGAGATTTTATTTTCCAACTCTTTTGTTACACAAATTTAAAGACAAGAAATGAAAAACTTATTAAAAGTGATACCTCGAAGATTCAGGAAAGATGTAAAGTCCAATATTGCAGTCAGCAGCCCCCAATTCATCAAAATCATTAGGCCAAACCTTGCACCTCTCTTTCATGCTGAAAAAAATAGAGGGTGGCATTGATCGTACAATATTGACAACTTTTGAATATGAAGTCTTTGGCATAAACGCCTCGAGCCCTTTCGAACTTACATATAAACTTCCAATGGTATTGAAAACTCCCCTATCAAGAAGCAAACAAACCATGTGCACGATGAAGGGGCCGAAGCAAAATATAAATAAATAAAAAGAAAAAGGAGGAAAGAGAGAAAAGCAAACTAAATTATCTGCCTCCCAATCAAAACATGAACAAAATTTAGGAAGAACACATGAGATATGTTAAACACCACACCTCCAAATTGGCCCTACTACCGGGATTGCACTAGCATCAGCCAGAGTAAAATCTAAAATTCTCAATGGACCACTACCAGCAAATTCGACCTTTTCATCTTGTTTATCCCCATATTTTATCACTTTTGCCAGTAATTCATCTGTTGATGGGCATGAATCGCATTTCCAACTGAAATCTTCACTAATATCATCAGCTGATAAGCCAAGACAATATCTGAAATTAAAAATTCATAGTTAATTTTATACAGTCCTGATTGCCAGAGAAATCAACAGAAAATTAACCAATTTTGCTAGCCATTATCTAACTTTCTGCAGAAATCAAATAATCAAACTCCACAAATTCACTCCTGAAGAATTCCTTGAATAAGAATGGTTGTCCAACTTACATGTGCTCAACTGTGTCCCAACATTCGGTACAATAAATTAAGTATCTAGAGAACTCTTTCACTCCAAATCCACATGTTTGACAGATTTTTTCCTACAGGAAAAAGAAACAGCATTATCTATCAAATACATGAATGGCTTGTTTAGTTAGAGACTATGTGCATGACAAACTTAAAAAGGGAGCTTTTGAGGAAAATCTTAACGGACCATGCTAACAAACTGAGTCTACCAAGAAGAGTATGTATATAAGGATGATGGGATGCATTGCAGTTTACACGTACTATGAAAAATATCAAGTTACGGACCATGATTTTTGTGGTAAAATTTATTAGTTAGCATAAATCTAAATTGAATGATGTTTAAGGTCTTAAACAGTATGCAAACATGCAGAATCAAAGTCATAATTTGATAAGTTGGCATGTGGTTTAAGTAGCATGTGATAAGAGACCTTGGAATTGATTCTCACCCCCCGCCCTTTTGGCTCTTTAGACACCAAATAAAATTGATTCTCACCCCCCGCCGTTGTGGATCTTTAGACACCAAATAAAAAAAATTTGGTTTATCTTCCTTTCTACACAAAGAGATAATACTCCGACAAGTGATTTTATTATAACTCCCTAACTTAATACGAAGTACTCCGTAATTTATTTAATAATTATATTCAGCCCTTAGGTTGCATATATCAAAAACAATTGTTGTTCATTCTTACCATACTTCTAACAAATACCAATTGAGCAAGCAGATGATTCTCTTAAGCAAATACTGCAATACCAATTTTGTCACCCTAGGATTCATTAAACAACTAAAAGCTCCAATTCTAAAACAAAAAAATTATAACAAACCCATAAGTAGAAACCCCATTTCATGAAAAACTAAAAAAAATGATCTCAAAAGGGAAACCCACAACTTAAGAGACTTACGCATTCCAAATATAGTAAGAAATTATAAAATACTAATAATTAATGCAATAAAAATTAAAAAAATATAATAATTTTTTTTTTTACAGGAATAAGCAACAATGACGACATAACATGCAAAAAATGAAGATCAAGGAGAGATTAATTGAGGATATGATCACAGAAAAGATGATAGAACAACTTTCAGCATTCGACTTTATTAAAATAGGCAGTTTTTATTAAAAGGAAATAAAAAATAAAAAAGAGAGAGACTCACCATTTTTGCGGTGCTTTGTGTGAGAATGCAGAGGAATTAATCTAGAAACAAAGAGCTGAATTTTGGGTTTTCATGTTGTTTATTTTCCTCAAAGAACTAAACATTTGGTTTTTCATTTTTCAACCCAAAAGAGAAGAGTTTATTAGAGGTAATATTTACTATACCCACTATAATATTTGTGTGAGACTCACCATTAAAGGTTTTTTTTACTGCACCAATGCTCAAAAAAAAAAACTCCTCATCACTTTATCCTTCCCTATTTACTATACCCCACTATAATATACATCACCTTTTTTTTCTCTTTTTTTTTAATAATATTTATACTACATATGTAACTTTCCAATACAATTAAAAATAGGTAATATTTTATTTTTATAATTACGTTTTAATTATACTGTAATAATTATTAATAATTTTTTATTTATTTTTTTAATTTTTTTTTTTGTAATTTTTAATTTATTCAATTATTTACGGTTAAAATTTCTGAATATACCATTTACAATGTAATTTTTTTATTTAACGTCTTAATTAGAATATAATAACTAAAGCAAATAATAGCAATTATAGATTCTACGAAAGATGTTTTTTTAACTTAAACGATTAATTAGAAGCGCATTTTTGAAATGAACACATAAATGGCAATACAAATACATCGGATGATTAAAAACAGTACGGTTACGAACTTAAAAAAAGCGGTTTGACCTAAACTAATACACGAACACGAGTATTAAAACCTAAAAACGATACGATTACAAACTACAAATTTGCTTATTCGGCCGTGTTATGACGAAAGTTTTGCCATATGTGTTCTACTAAATCTTGTTTGAGAGACGAATGAATTTCTCTATCACGAAGGGCAATCCTCCTTTGAAAGTACGCGTTGAAATCAATGTTGGGTGGCCGCCTGACGTTGAATTCAAATGGCTCGTTGTTATTCACTATGGCACTTGTACTCGGTCCGGCCGCGCTGCTGTACGTTGTGGTCGATCTTCTTCGTAGTATCGTCTCAAAACATCTGCACGTGTGTAGTTGTGTCGTTCATCCTCGACGATCATGTTGTGCATTATTATACAGGCTTTCATAATGTCACAAAGAATACCTTCGTCGTATGCAAGTGTTGGTTGTCGTAGTATAGCAAACCTAGCTTGTAAAACTCCGAAAGCTCGTTCAACGTCTTTCCGAACTGCTGCTTGTTGATCAGCAAACAACTTGTCTTTTTGAACTTGAGGATGTGTTATACCTTGTATAAAAGTTGGCCATCTCGGGTAAATCCCATCTGCCAAGTAGTAGGCCAACTCATATTGATGTTCGTTTACCCAAAAATTTATTGGTGGTGCACGACCTTGTAAAACATCATCAAACACCGGTGAACGGTAAAGGACATTAAGATCATTACATGAGCCAGGCATTCCAAAGAACGCATGCCAAATCCATAAATCCTGATCAGCAACGGCTTCAAGAATGAGGGTTGCAGTTTTGCTACGACCAGCATATTGTGCTTTCCAAGCCGTAGGACAATTCTTCCACTCCCAATGCATGCAGTCTATACTACCAATCATGCCTGGAAACCCACGCAATTCATTTTGGTGAAGGATTCTCCTTAAATCTTCATCTGTAGGTTTACGTAGATATTCACTTTCAAATTGTGAAATAACCCCCTGACAAAAATGTTGCAATGCATTCCTTGAGGTTGTTTGGCCGATACGTAAATATTCATCCACGACATCAGGGTACGCCATACGCTAACATTCTTATTGCAGCGGTGCATTTTTGCAACGGTGATAAACCAAGCTTTCCAGCTGCATTCCGACGTTGTTGGAAGAATTGATCCCCTTCAACCACCTTATTCATAATGCGACAGAACAAAGATCTTCGCATACGAAATCTACGGCGGAATTGGTTGTCGTTATACACTGCATTACTCGCAAAATAATCATTATATAGTTGCACATGCCCTTTTTCTCTTTCCCTATCCCTTTTAGGCTCCGGGGCATTTGCTATATCATTATTAAGCTGGGATTCTTATGATGAGTGTTGGGGAATTAAAATATGAGGTAGGTGGTTAGCAGCATAATCATCAACTAACCGATCAAATTCAACATTATTTGAGAAATCAGAAGAACTAGAGCTTGAGGTGGAGGAAATGAAAGACATGTTTTGGTTATGGTTTGCTAGTTGGTTTGTTTGGGATTCTTTCCGTTTAGAATAACACATGCATGTATATATAGTCCAAGTGACTATCAATGCATGTGAGTTGCTCTGAGTTTGCATGTGAGTAACTCTGAATTGAAATTCATGTATCATTGCAATCTCTGCAATGAAATTGATGTGTCATGCATGTATATATAGTCCATATGACACTTCAATGCAATCTCTGCAATGAAATTGATGTGTCATTGCACGCTGAATTGCAATTAAATTATTAATGCATGTGATCTATGACACTTGAACAGTTGATTTGACTCTTCAATAATCTATATCATTATCATTACTTGTGTTCAGTTGATATGACTCTTCAACATAAAACTGTGAAGATTTTATTGGGAGTTGTATATTTGTCATTAACCAGTACATGTGATTATTATTAAAAAAAAATTTCATAAAGTAAATAATTTACTGCATAATTAATGTTATTAAAAAACATAATTCATTTCACATTAATGTAAATAAAAAGGAGTACATCTTAACATTAATTAAAATAAAAAAGACTACATTGAACATTAATTAAATAAAACAGTAGCAACACATTAAGCTGGGCATTATTACATGTTCCTTCTACCATAGAGTAGTGCACGTAATTCTTCCTTGTAAGCCTCTTCATCAGGAGTTAGGTCCGGTCCCTTTGCCATTAGATCTTGCAGCATTTCATAGTTGAGCCTTCTCTCTTGAATTTCGACATATTTTTGGTGAAGCTCTACTTGTTTTTGCTTCCTTCTTTCCCTTTCCATGTCGAAATCCAACTTCTTCAACCGCATTTGTGCCTCAATTTCCCTACTTGCATTATTCTGCTGCATTTGCTCACTAATGTTTGAGACTTCAAAAGCCACTCCTTTTCCCTTATTACGCCTGGACTTTGCCTTTTTAACTCCATCAGGTCGAGGAAGACCCCCAGAATTGAAACTTGTAACGGAAACAACATCTTCATCTTCAGTTCTACACCGCTTTTCACTTCCACTACTGTCATCTTCGACAGCATCACCGCAAGCTAATCTTTCCTCTCTTGACAACGCCCATCTCAGTTTTGTCCTCCACTTCGGGTCATTTTTAACCATTTCCCAACCATGGTGACAATTAAAATTATGTGGAGTAGGCTTGGAGGAAATATAGAATAACTTACTCGCATTATTAATTCGGTCTGCTTCGTTGTAACCACTTCCAGTTGCCCTTCCAGCTTCGTCATAGCAACTACTCCATTGTATAAAATCAGTTTCCATCCTTCTCCAACGGCTTTCCAAACTCCTCAAAGGTCTTGGCGGTAGGATGTGGGGTTTCTCAGCCTGCGCTTGATCATATGCTGTAGATATTTTTCGCCATAGCGCAACTGCTTTTTGGTTTGTACCAACAATTGCATCTTCACTGAATTGAAGATACAAACCAATTAGAGTTTCATCCTCCGCAACAGACCACATTCGACTTCCTTTTGTAAGTGGTTGGTTGTGATTCACATACACTCTTGGAGGAGGTGGAGAGTATTGAGGAGTGTCTAGAACAGTTTCTTCCATTTCATCATCAAATTCAGAATTGGTCCCTTGATAAACAAGAGGTGAATGTGGTGCATAGGTACTGTTTTCGAAAGGAGTTTGATGAGGTGTTTATTGTGGTGAATTTTGCAAAGAAGTGTTTCCAAGCCTTTGTAGGAAAAGCTGAAATCGAGGATTAGTGACAAAATCATCACCCAAATCAGATAAATGATTAGAAAAATCAGGGTTGTTAGGATCCATAAGTTGATAAAGTAGTAAAGTAATAAAGCTTTAAACAATAATTAGTAAAAAAGTTAACAATTACTAAAAAAAACAATAACTAAATTATATTTTCACAAAAAAAAAAAAAAAAAAAAGAAGCAACAACAACAATAATAATAATAAAAATAAAAATAATAATAATAACAACAACAACAACAACAATAATAATAATAATAATAATAATAACAATAATAATAACAACAATAATAACAACAATAATAACAACAACAACAATAATAATAATAATAATAATAATAATAACAATAATAATAACAACAATAATAACAACAATAATAACAACAACAACAATAATAATAATAATAATAATAATAATTTTTTTTTTAAGAAAACCGTAATTAATAATTATAATAATAAGAAAGAAGTGAGGATTGGGAAATTAGTGAATATAGGAGATTTTTGGGTTTTTGAAAGTATATCAAAATGCATGTCTATTTATAGAGAAAAATATTTTATGGTCGTTGGTGATTTTTTTTTTTTTTTTTAATTTTTTATAACGGTATTATTACCGTTTTTAATAATATTACCGTTGGGAAAAAGAAGAAAAATCTGATTGGTTGAAAATTCTGGCTCTGACGCGTGTCACATTTCTACTGGCTGACCTAACGCGCGTCAGTGCCAGAACTTTCAAATTTTTATGCTGAGAATACAACCAAAACGGCGTCGTTTTGGCCTCATGAAGCACAAAACACGTCATTTTGGCTGCTTTCTCAGCCAAATGAAGCAGCTGGCGTCAGTGCTTTGTGGGACCCACGTCTTCACTATTCATCCTTATTTCCCCTCAAGTCTTGTGCGTTTTCCATTCTCCTCAACCGTGAGTGCAATTCTTCTCACTGATGTAGTGTTCGGTTTTTTTTTTACACCTTAAATTTCACTCGTGAGGGGTTTTTCACTCACTGTTGAGAGTGCTCTAAGAAGAATTGGATGGGAAGAGTGAGAAAGTGGGTAGAGAGAGATTGAGGGGTTTGTTTTCTCCTCACTGCTGATAGTGGTCTTAGTGAAGGTGTGAAATGGAGAAAATACAAGTTGATAAATTGAGAAACTTGTCTTGTATATCTAGGGGCAAGCTCGTCTTTTCCATTAATTATTTGGGGATAAGAGTGTAATTTGTGAGTAAAGTGCTTTGAATGGCAATGTCTACATTCGTTACTCTATTTTCAGGTTGTTTGATACTCCCTTCATTTCATAATAATTGCAGGTTCGTAGCACTTATTTTTTACATATGTTTCATAATAATTTATACACATCTTTATTTAGTATAAACCCACTTATATTTTATTATCTCTCTCCTATCAACCTTATTAACACTACTTTTTTTTTTTATTATTATTTCACTCTCCTTGTAACAACTAAATATACCCCTACTAAGTATACTTTATTTTATTAAATTCATCTTTTGACCCTACCTTATAATTTTTCTAAAATTATGTGTCACGTCTAATGTTGCAATTATTATAAAAGGGAAGGGAGTTTCAATTTTCTTTTGTTACTATAATCTCCGTTAACTTTGTTATTGCACTCTAGTTGGTACACCCTAAGGCCTATTCTTCACCTTCAACTTACAACTTGTTGTGCTTTGTAGCTAGGGATGGAAATATTAGATGGATATCCGCTAATCCAATCCACCGCTTAAAATAAATGAACGAAAATCCGAAATAAATGGATGAAAAGCGGGTGACGGATGGAGTGGATGACGGATCGGATGTGGATGAAGTTTTTTTCACCCGCTAACCATCAACCCACCCGTTTAACATATATAAAGATTTTTAATCTAAGAATTTTAATTTAAAAAAATTAAAAATATACAATAAAAATACTTTATTTTGTTGCAAATTAATTTCTTCAAAGAATATGTAGTTAGTGCTTCCTTTTTATTTGAAAAATAATAATAACTCGTGGTAAAAATAACCATAAATTAAATTTTATGTGAATTTTTTTTTTCATATAATGTTCATCCATTAGTCACCCAATTCACCCGTTTCATCCGCGGATGATTGATGGACGGATATGGATGATGGGTGAAGCGGGTGATGGATGGATGTGGATGAAGCAATTGGAATGATGAATGGATGCGGGTGAAGCTCCACCCGATCCGGATCCGATCAATTGCCATCTCTATTCGTAGCTGGTGAAGACGGAGGAATCATATGAAAAACTATATAAGTTAAATTCTGAAATTACCAAGCATGGGCTTCGTCAATTTTTAAATGTATAGGTTAACCCTAAAAGATATGTATGTAAATTTTCATTCCTCCATTGATTTCGGCTTAGCACTACCATTTTTGGCTGTGAAAACTCGAATATCAAAGGGAGAAATAAAGGGTATGGATAGATACCCCTAAGGGTCAGATTTCATCTACCTCAATGTTGTATTAAAATGAATATTTGCAATCACTAAAATTGAGGGTTGAAGGAGGAAAGAGAAAATCAAGGGAGAGGGGGAAAGCAACTAACGACAATTAACCCCTCTTAGTTATCAATTACATAAATACTTTTAGATAGATATGAATAGTTTATAAACTTGTAGTTTCTTATAAAATCCAATTTCACTAAATAATTAAGCCAACCAAATCAAGAATTGGAAAAATAAAATAAAATATAGGGTATTTTCATTTTTACCACCTTCAAATAATGACTTTGTCGAATTTACCACCTCCAAAAAAAAAAGATTTACTTTACCACCTCATAAAAAAATAAAACATCAGTTTTACCACCAATCACCTCCAACTAACGGATTCCGTCCATAAATCCGTTAGTGGGGCCTACCTTGCACACGTGTCGCCATATTATTCGGTAAGTTTTAAAAAAAAATTAAAAAAATCCCCATTAATCAACCGGTGTTGCTGCCACCGTCAGGACCCCCACCGCCGACCAGCCACGACCAGCCCCCACCACCTAACCGCTACGACCAGCCCCCACCACCTAACCGCTACGACCAGCCCCCACCACCTAACCGCTACGACCAGCCCCACCACCGCACCGCACAGCCACAACCACCTTTCCACCAATTTTTATTTATTTTTTTGCTCTGTTTTCTCGAAAGCCACAACAATGGCGTCTCTTCCAATGGAGTTAATCACCTCCATTCTTTTCGATTACCCACTAAATCACTACATCGCTTCAAATGCGTTTCCAAGGCTTGGCATTCCTTAATCAATCAACAACACCCATTTAATCAGACTTCATCTCGCTCATTCTCTCTCCTCTGACCGTCGTCTTCTTATCCTCAACCATGGAAGTCACCTGGAATCGACTCCATTGAAGTGGGGTTCTGAGCTTGATGCTAAAAACGATTGACAAGGTTTGATTTACCCAATTCTTTTTCTGGTTTTGAGGTTTCGATTTGTGGGTATTGTAATGGATTAATTGCTTTGGTTTGTATAAATGTTGATGATAATCGATTTGTATCCTTGTTGTTGGTGATTTGGCTTCTTAGTTTTTGGCAGCCACCAAATCCCGACCACCCATAAATCCCCTTCTAATTCCGACCACTCTAAAAACCCTAGCCACCACCAAATTTCGCACTCCTAAAACCCTAACCACCACCTAATTCCGACCACCTCCCTAACCCACACACCAAATTCCGGCCCCTCCTTAGTCACACACGAAATTCCGACCAACCGAGGTAGTTGATTTCGTTGCTGGTTGGTTTACACGGAAGATCGGGGAAGATGAAGAAGAAACGTCAAAAAGGTGGGCCCTACTAACGGATTCGTGGACGGAATCCGTTAGTTGGTGGTAAAATCGATTTTTTGGAAATTTTGTTGGTGGTAAAGTAAATCTTTTTTTTTTGGAGGTGGTAAATTCAATTAAGTGGTTATTTGAAGGTGGTAAAAGTGAAAATACCCTAAAATATATATATATAAAATAAAATTAAAATTAAAAAATCAGAAAAAAGAAATGGTGCTCTGTTTTCCCTCCCTTCCTCCCTACGTCCTCCTCCCCTCTTTCTACTCTGTACTCTGTTCAAACCAGAATTTCCTACTTCCCTAAAACTTCAAAATTTTACAGATAAAATCAAGATTCAAATCACCCAAAACCTCAAAAACTCAAATTCCAAGATTCAAACTTCCAAATTCAATCATGTTTCAAAAATTCATCATAATCTTCACCTTAATCTTCACATTCAACTTCCCCTGTTCATCCTCCATCTCCTTCATCCCAGCCAACAACTTCACCTTCTTCGGCGATGCGCACTTAATCATCGATTCTGAAACAAACCTTTCTTCCATTAGTTTAACCCAACAAAACCCTTCTTCTTCAGGCAGAGCATTCTACTTTTACCCACTTCAATTTCTTGATCATTCAACTAATTCCTCCGTTTCTTTCTTTTCTCGCTTTTCCTTCATTATTACGCCTTCTTCTCCTTCAAACCCCGGTGATGGAATCGCTTTCTTGATCACCTCTGATTTGGGTTTGTTTAGTTCAAAATTTGGGCATTTGGGTATGCCTGAATTCAGCTTGAACTCCCAAGAATCGTTTTTCGCAGTCGAATTTGATACGAAATTTGATGCTTTAGTTGGGGATGTTAATAATAATCATGTGGGTATTGATGTTAATTCTGATATTTCCTTGGTTTCTGTTGATGGGTTTTTGGGTGGAGTTGATTTAAGTAGTGGAAAGAAGATTAATGCTTGGATTGAGTACAGAAATTCAGTAAAAGCTATCAGAATTTGGGTTAGTTACTTCCCTAATAAACCCTTGAATCCTGTTCTTTCTGCTCAATTTGATCTTTCTAAGCATTTGAAGGAGTCAATGTATGTGGGGTTCTCTGCTTCTAATAGAGATGGGTCTGCATTACATGTTATTAATGGATGGGAGTTCAAGACTTTCGAGTTCGATTTTTCGACTGTCGATAGAGATGAGGAGGGAGGTGATTGTGTGAGCTGTACACCGGGTGAAGTTTCTGATGATGATAACAAGAAAGATGAGATTGTATTGACAGGAATTATTTCTGCATTGAGTTTTTTGACAGTTGCTGTTGTGATTTATTTTGTCTGGTTGTCAAGGAAAAGTGTGATATCAGATAGGGAGAAAAGCAGGAGGAATGAGTTGAAGAAAGGGCCTATAAAGTTGCATCTCTCAGAGATCGAATCGGCTACTGATGGTTTCAGCAGGAGTAGGATCATAGGCCAAGGAACATCTGCAACAGTTTATAAGGGAATTCTTTTCCATGAACAAGTAGTTGCTGTTAAAAGATTCAATGATGTTAGTGATGGTAATCTCATTAGATCCTTTACCAATGAATGTGCTGCTATGACTCGAAAATTGAAGCATAGAAACCTAGTTCAATTGTTGGGATGGTGCTGTGAAAAAAATGAACTTATCCTGGTGTATGAGTTTCTGCCTAATGGTAACCTTGATCAGAATCTGCATACAGATTCGGATGCTTTTCGTGTTCTAACTTTTGAGCAAAGGCTGAACATTGTTCTTGGTATAGCTTCTGGCCTCACATACTTGCATGAAGAATGCAACAGGCAGATCATTCATAGGGATGTTAAGACTTGTAATGTGATGCTTGATTCGGATTTTAACCCTAAACTTGGTGATTTTGGATTGGCTGAGGTCTATGACCGAGATTCTAGATTGAGGAAACCGACTATTCCAGCTGGGACAATGGGGTACATAGCCCCGGAGTATCTTCACTTTGGTGTTCCTACTATTAAGTCTGATGTTTACAGTTTCGGAGTGGTGGTTTTGGAGGTGGTGACAGGAAGAAGGCCAACCGAGAACAAACAAGGTTTTCTCATTGATTGGATATGGAACCTGTGGGAGAGGGGTAAGCTGATTGAGGCCGTTGATTGGAGGATGATGGGGCGGTATAGTAAGGAAGACATGGAAAGGATGCTCAAGGTTGGTCTGTGCTGTGTGCACTTAGATAACAAGAAAAGGCCTACTCTTAAGGAAGCACATATGATGTTAAAAGGGGAATTGCAGGTGCCTGATTTACCAGCTAAGAGGCCAGATGTGAAGTTTCGAGCAGCCTGCCATGGGCCTTCGAGAAAGATGCTGAATGCTGGAGGTGATGATATTGAGGAGTGTCCTTGGTCAACTCCAAAAACTCATTTCAGTGAGTACTGATTAGTGCAGGTTTTTACAGGAGATTAGTTCTTGAGCCATGGATTCAGATGTTAGTTTGTCGTAGTCTTAGATTTTCTTTTTACTTGTAATCATGCCGGTAAGAAAAACAAAATGTATAGCAGAAAATAAAGTTTACTAATTGCATTCTCAAGTTTAATACATGAATTGCAGGGAATAAAAACCCCTTTTTTTGTTTGAGAACAATTGTGTCAATAGTTCAGTTCAAAAGCTACTCAGTGCCTCAGTCTATGTACTCATTGTAAAGAAAGAGAAATCGTGTACAAAAAACTCTGAATCTTCTCGATTTCCACTAGAACTTTTATTTGATTGCATCTAGTCTATCATCATGCTTTCTATTTTCTTAATGATTTCATGAACACCTAATCATGTGACAATATACATTTTAAAGCAAACCCTGAAGTACCTGTCTTTGTAGCATGCTTCTGTTTTCCTGCAAAGACAACATTAGGTGCTAAAGTTATATCTTAAAAACTTATTAGTAAGGGTTGATTTAGGTTCTAAAAGTTACTCAGATTGCTTAGAGTTCTTGAATGAACTAGTTTACTTGCTACTTCTATATGTTGGCGGTGTAACAAATGACGATTGCTGCTAATTATTTTTGCAATCCATGGAAGCAACTTGTTTCAATCTTCTGATGCAAGAATTTTCTAAGTATAAGTACACTTTGTGTGAGAAATTTTTCATATTTTATATTCGACCAACAAACTCCTGATTAGAGCTTGAAGAGTAATCTATTCAGTTCCAATGCTGATGCTATAAATAACAAAGTTCTTTTTTTTTTTTTTTAATAAAAATGCTCCTGCAAATTGTTGGTGGGGAGTATCTACATGTCCAATTAGTTTCAGTAAAAACATTTACTTCAGAACGTGTTGTCAGCAACTGTCAAATTGATTTACAAGTCAGGGACACACGGTGTCTAACATGCTGCTTGTTTGATTCAGTGGCCTGAAATCCATTTGTAGCAGAACCTGAAACCCCCAACACATTACACAAGAACATGCATAAGTAGTCTCGCACTGATATATTATCATCACTGGTGATACTCCTTGCTTTACCTTAACAGTTTCCTGAATTTAATCTCATAACTCCTCAATGGATATTGGAGAAGCATTGTATCTTTTGCTTTCATTGTTACATACTAACGTAATTTCCTGGAGCTCATTTTGCTGTCAAAGTTCTTCAAATCAGGGAAGTGAGTCAAAGTGACAGAGCAAATAATCAAGAGTTTAGTCTTCTTAACATAGGTTGATTTTAGCTTCGACGTGCTGTCTTTCTATACATAGGTTAATTTTAGCTTCGACATGCTGTCTTCTATGTGTTTTATGTTAACATGTAACTTGTATGATCGATGTTGTTAAGACTTCCTCGAATGTAGAAGCAAGTAGTATTGTTTACATACATGGTTACTGTGAATAAACAGGATAAATGCAATTTAAGCCACTAGCTAAGTAATTCTGTTTAGAAGGGCATATCTGTTTTATGTAGTATTTGGATGCAGTCATGCAAATTTACAAGAAACTAGCTGATCATTCAGTTTTTTGTTGACAGGAAATCCTAGATTTGTGCAAATTATTAGAAATTTTTGCATATGATACACAGATAGTTAATTAAAATTTTGATTTGATTAACTGAATTTGCATTTTAGTTAATGGCAAGTAGGGGTCCGGGAACTAAATTTGGTAATAAATAAAATTATCATGAATATACGTGAATACGTGAGGGTATATTTATCCATTCAAGTTTAAAATGCGAACGCTACCTAATAAAATACATAGAGTGATGAAATTTCAAATCAATTTGTGAAATCAATTGGTTTTAGTCTTGTGATTTGAAAAGGTGCTAAAATTTGAGAAGTTGGTGCAAATGTTACATGAAGTTGTGAAGGTACTAAAATTAGAGATACTATACGCCGAATTAAAAAAAAAAAAAATACAAAGCCAATCAACTGTTGGCAAAGGCCTATCATGTCAGGTATTATACTCAAAAGGCAAAAACCATACAAGTACAATATTCTGGTTCTTCAACAGCTTTTACTACCATAAGCTATATATACTGTATAAATTAATTATGGAAAACGAGTGGTTCATGTATCAAGTCAGACTATTTTGAGTTTTTGACTAAGTATGAAGTAGGTAGTCCTTCACAAATTTGCATTTATTTTTCTTTTTTTATGAAAATATACAAAAATAATACTGTAAAATAAGGTTAGTTGAAAGCTTCAAAGCCATTTCCAACTGCTTCTCATATTTCTTTCATTTCCTTTGAAGCTGCAACAAAACATAAGAATTAGTTTTCCAAGAGAAAGACTAGCTCAGACTCAGTTCTTGTTAAGATTAAGGTCAGTTTCTTCTTCATAATTTCATTATAATTTTATTTTATTTTCTAATTTTGCAACTTTTTTCATGAACATTTTGATTTATTTACTACTAAAATGGAGGTAATGGGATTACCCACCTACAAGAGGTAGGTTAGCTGTTTTAAAACAAACATTATGAAATGTTTAAGTTAAAAGAAAATAATTTGTGTAAATTTTTTTTTGTGGCATGTTTGATCAAAGAATTTGCAAATAAGTGTGAAAAGTATTAGGTAGGTCCATCATACATTCGAATGTCATTTGTCATTTGTCATTTTACGTTTTTTCACTTTAACATACTAGAATCACATGTGAAAAAGTGTGATAGAAGAGAAGAATGTAAGAGGATGTAAAATTACATTTCTAGTGTATTTAATCTAGAAATTGAACACGTAAAACATAGAAAATTATGGGTTTAGTTCAATTTCTATGATCTTCATAATAGATTATATATTATTTGGGCTCATCAATACAACCCGAATGTGTGATACTTAAAATCCAGATTAAAGCAAGAAAGATCAACCATATGAAATTGATAATGTGGCTTTAAAGCTTTTGTACAATGTACCCATTCTATTTCAATAATTCAAGTACAAGAAGCTGATATTCTCATTAAATTGGAGTAGTAATAAATGTAAACTAGTTCAGTCTGTATTTTGAAAGTGAACTGCTCTGTAATGAATTAACGGTGTGTTTGGATTGAAGGAAATGGAGGGAAAGGAAATGGAGAGATGTGATATCTTTTATTTGGATAACAAATGAGAAAGGAAGGGAATTGGAGGGGAGAGAAATAGAGGGATTAAATTGTAGGAAAATGATCCCTCCAACAATAGAGAGATTTAGAAGGAAAACTCACCATTCTTCCCCTCCCTTTTTCTCCTTCCCCTCCTCTTCTGCTCCCTCTCCTTCTTTTCCTTCTCCTCCTCTTTTCCTCCCTCCCCTTCTTTTCCTTCCTCTTTCTTTATCCAAACACACTGTAAATGAAGTTGCTAGCTCGCACAATTTTAGGAATTTCTCATAATATAAGGAGAGATATTAAGATCTTTTAGATTTGGGGTTCTCTAAAAGGAAAAGTGAGCCCTCCTTAAACTTGATCAAAGTGTGGGTCGAGCCGGGTTCAGGACCGGGCCAATGCCAAAAAAGCAGCCCATATCTTGGGACGGGTCAGCTTTGGGTTGGAAATTGCATGGCCAAACCCACCCAAAAGGGCCAGGCCATGAAGGCTTTTGGGTTTTCTCAGACCGGGCCAAAAAAAACAACTAAAAATGCATACAAACACATGCCCAAGCCCGTCCAAAAATATAGAAAATTCGGGCCGGGCCAGACCAGTCCACATAGGCCAGGGTTGTTTTTCAAACACCCAACTTGTTAGCCCGACTAAATTTGACATGAACAAAAAAGCATCCAATTGGACCGTCCATTAACCAGCTAGTTGTGTAAATGTGTACTCCGATCAACGCCCAAATGAGCTATTGGGTAGCCACAAAACAGTTACTCATAGAATGTTGTTTATACCATCTCAATAGCGTGTGTCTTTCTACATCTAGTGAGGATGTACTAAAATTGTTTTTGGTGGTTATGAACTTATGATAGGCTGAATCATACAATACAAGTGGGATAAAATAGAGTCATACTAATATCCTAGTGATTGTTCAGTTGAACATAAAAAGTAATATTTCTAAAGTTTCTATTTTACCTGAGTAATCCCATTTTCTAGAAAGTGCCAAAAGTTGTTTATGGGAAACTCTGAGTTCCAGTGCAACTTCCTTCATAATGCTTTTGTCCACCAAACAAACGTGGTAGAAATTTCTACTATACTTCAAGTTTTAGAGAACTCTTTGCTGATGCCTTAAATCGTAGTGTTGGTTGCAGAAAAAATGAGTGTGTGCCAGACATGCGGTCAGAGAGGCTTCCCTGAACTATTAGTTGTATGCAGCAAGTGCCAAATTGTCTCCGAACACGTGTAAGTTTCTAAGCTTTCGTAGTTTAAATTCCATGAAAGAATGATATATGTAGGATAAACACACGCATCGAGTCAATTTAGAGTTCATTTGTGTTTGCATCATGCTGGCTTTGTGTCTCTCTCAGTAAATATTGATTGAGTTCAGATTGACAGATCGTATTGTCGAGTTCTGTCACAATTTGCAATCTCCATATATGATGGTATGATATAGTATTAAAGCAAATGTGTAATTCAAATTTACATGAGTAAGTCATCAAGAACAGGAGAGGTAAAAGGTAACTTAACAGCACCAGTAGCAATAAAGAACAAGAGGAACCAAGCAGGCGCAATCCAAAAAAACATAACCTCTAAAATTTTCTTTCCAGAAGACCGAGTAGCTCTCTCAGTTTGTTCATTTATCCACTCTCCTGTTTCGCGTAGTGCCCGTTCAGTTTTGCCCTCCGTCTTTCCTACTGAATTCGCCAATACTGCATCGAACACACTATTCTTCTCTGCTGGATCACTGCATTACATATACAACGTATAACGTAAACAAATAAAGATGAGTGATAACAGAGTAAAAATACAAAATATGGGTTAAAAGTAAGGTGTAAGGTGCTTGCCTTATACTGGCAGGATCATGGTCGCGGTATTTGCCAGCACCAATGGCTCGTTCTATTTCCGCAATAGAGGGCTGAATTTGGGGACTGTGGCTTGGTTTTGGAGGAGTAATCTTTGAAGGTTTCCGGGGTGTTGTGTGTTTAGAAGAACTCTGAGAGAGAGAAGCAAGAGTGAAACCAGGTTTGGTTATGGAAATACAGCCTGATAAAATCATTTTGTGGTGTTTAGTGGGGATTTTGAGGATAGAGTGAGTATATGTAAATATGTGGCTGAGGTGTTGGTTTTTTTTTTTTTTTTTTTTTTTAGTTTTTTTTTATTTAATAATTAATTAAACATTTAAAAAAGAGCCCATAATTTATTGGCACGTGGCAAATTTAGCCTTAATGACTAACGGAGTTAACGTTCGTTAGTCATTTGGGTATTTAGTGACATTTTTGTTAAACTCAGGGTTATAAGGTCAATTTGAAAATTTTCATAGGTATATGGTTAAGAAAAAAAAAAAATCAGAGATATTTGGCGAAAAATCCGTTTTTTTATGAAACTAGTCTGTTTTCAGACCTTAGTTCCTGTGATAGATTCCTTGCCCGAATTATTAGAAAAGAACATAAGAGTAAGGATGGAGGAGAATAGAAGCAGACAGGTGAGGAAAGGGGGATAAAGCAGTGATGATTTTGAAATCCTGAAAGGAAAACAATTAATATATTGGGAAACTATTGTAAATTTTAATTTATTTCTCTTGGGCACTACGGAGTATATTGTATATTTAAGGGTCTAATTGCACTATAAAAAGTGCATGAAGATAGAAGATTTAGTATATCTAAGCATATGTATCTATTCCATATCTGTCTCATTGAAGACTATATTGGACCACCATGAACATAGTGAACCATCATGAATTCACGATAAATACACACGTTGCTACTAGGCGCCAAAAAGGTAAAATTTACAACTAGATTTACTTTGGCAACACTAGCCAATCTTGGGATTTAAGCCTCAGGATTCAGAATCAGATCCAGCACTTTTGTCAGGTATCAGTGAAAGAAGCTTCAGGAACAGGGCTTTCTGTTAGAATTGCAGCTTCTGAATGATTTTCATATGGTTATCTAAGTATTTCTGCTAGTTTTGACCCAAAGCTCTAAGAAAGTGTTGAGCTCCTATTTGTTTAAAGGTAATGGTAGCTCCCATATATTGTTAATTATTGACTTTAGCTTCCGTTACAAGTTGAGTACTTGAACGTCATCGTATGTAACTAGAAGAAAAAAGAATTATGTTAAGGGATAATATGGGAATTAACAAAAGAATATCTTCGGGACTAGATCTTCTCTTATCCATGGCAATGTAAATCCATAGCATATGCTTACAGAAAGTTTGTGTAGCTATGAAAGATAACTATGTAGGTAGTGTGAACTAACCTTGTCCAAATTATATTCTGCGTTTCAGTTACTGCCTTAATAAGTTAGCAGAGACAGATGATGATGAAGTCGAATGGACTTGTGGATTTTGTGAGCCAAGGGTCTTTGAACTGTCTGATTCTACAAACAGTGTTTCAGACACAGAAGGCGGTGAACTTAAGGATGATGCAAAGGAGCCGCTTCATACATCAATAATTGAGGAAGCTCAGAGTGTGAGAAATGCCGATGCTGGTCCATCAACCAATGAGATACAGTTATTCTGCAGAGATTTGGAAACGAGCCATGATCCAAAAAGGCAAACGCACAATTATGTTGTTGGAGACCTGCATTTACCAGATGTAGACTCTGAAGCAACAAGTGCTAGGGCGGCTAAGTCTGGCTCTCCGGAAATATCCTGTATCCTTGAAGATGACTTCTGTAGCAATATAGAGCCGCTACCTGATCCTATTTGGAAGTAATGCTCCCCTTTCTCTTGTGTTCTGGAACAGCTAATTTAATGTATATGATAATAGTTTAATCACCAGCAAAAGAGGATACGAGGACAAAAAAATCAAGATTCGTTCTAATTTGCATATAGTTTTATTTTACAGGGGAAGTTTTAAGATATATGGAGAAAAATCTTGTACTGTCCATGAAATGATGGCGCACTTATCCAATGAAGCATGCAAAGAAGCATTAGAGGTGACAAATTCTATGCCTGTGCTCCTATGCTTAGAGATGGTTTCCAAAATCAACATCTGGCCTATGAAGTTCAAGAAAATGCTGCCAACAGCTAATAATATTGCAGTGTACTTTTTTCCTGATCACCGGTAATCTTCAACGAAATATGTATGTTAAACTAATTTATCCAAATTTTCTGTTGTAATAAAGCAATTGTACATCTTACAGAACTGAAAGAATGTACGACTGCCTAGTGGATGACATAGTTGACCGTGAATTAGCCATGATTTCAAGGATCAATAATGTTGAGCTCCTGATCTTTTCATCTTGTGAGCTGCCACCAAATTATTGGAGTAAGCCCAAATCATTTGAAACTTTTGCAAATATAATTTTACTCTATTAGTCTATCAGTACTTACTACTTAAACTGTTTCAATTTATATATTTAAAAGGAATATATCTGATGATAGATGAGGAACAAATGTGATGCTCATATGCAGGATTCAAACAGAAATACTATCTATGGGGTATGTTTAGGAGAAAGAAGAAAACCTTGCCTCAACACCAACATGATGATTCTTCATCCAGCATACATAGTAGCATCAACCATACAGTTCCTTCAAAATTGTCAACTGAAACAGGTGCTAAGGAAACTGAGTCTGACACAGAGAATTTGGCTATTCTTCCCCAATTCGCCAAGGACTGGTAGGTATTTCCATGGACACATAGTCACATACTTTTTCTAACTTAAAGATGTTGGAGGCAAGCTAAGCAAACTAGCAAAGAACGATGGTTAAAAAGATAACCTTTTCTTTCCTTGTTGAATTATTGTACAAGTTTTTTCACGGGAAATAGGAGCTACAGTAAAGACCTCAGTAATCCATTCTCCCATTCTGCACTTACTTCCTCACCATTTCTTCTGTTAAAATCTCAGCAGAAGAGCATCTCCTCTAAGAAGACTGAAGAGGAAAGTTGAAATATCAGTCAGTAGAACAGCCATAGCCCATAGGTTATACCACAATCGTGACACATCCACCCGAACAAAAACCTGTATCAAGCATTTTTTTTTCTTATGAAGAAGAAATCGTAAACTAGAAAATACCACATGAACTTTGTACTAATATTCAGCATCAGTCTGCAAACAAGGGTTGGGGGAAGGAAATTGGGATTGACCTGTCTAAAATATGGGATGTTAAAGTTTCCGAGCTTCTATATTACATTCATAACTCTTTGCAGTTAGCACTTCAGAGTTCAGACACATGATTGCTTGTAAATTGCAAATGCAGGAAATAATTTGACGAATGCGATGCAATGATTTTGTGCTAACAACAAAGCTAGGAATTCTGCTAAAAGCTAAGCACAGCATGTTCTATGTTAGCTGCTCTGGCACATATTACCTGGTGTGTGAAAGGTATAAAATTTTATGCCATGTCATCCAAATTGTGCAAGGAGTGCTTCTCCATACGCTGCTGTAAACTCATACAGGAAAGGCTATCCCTGATTATCAAAACTTGATGTCAATATTGCTAAGCTAAGTTGTTAGGTTAATTCAATTTTCTGTTCATTTCTATTACTTTGGGGAGGCAGGGGGATGTCAATTTATGAATTTAGCCAATAGTACTTCAGGGCCAGTGTGGTAACTGTGGTGCCTTTGTAAATAACAAGAATATGTAAACCATAACAAACTTCTTTTTAATATATCAATATGCAAACCAGCATGAAATTACAATTACATTCATCATTTCATCCTTGACCAAATAATTTCATTTTAACTTATTATTTATTCTCCTTTAATGTTGTTTGCTTACAACTGTATTAAACTACAGAGAGCAGCTAATCTAAGTAACAACATTGAGACAGGATTTCAACTCAAATAAAAACAAACTCAATAATAAATTCTCCTACATACAAAAATGGCAGGAAGCGAATCACCATTCACCAAACAGTCATCTTAATCCAAAATCCTCCGCGTTATGAAGGAGCCGAAGCCATCATCTCCTTAGACTGCTGATCTTTATGCTTAAGATATTGTTCCATGATCGCAAGCCTCGCAGTCTCGAATGCAAAATAACCAATTGCAGAAAAACAAGCACTATGAACAACTCTAGGTCCCATACCTCTAGTAAAACCAATCCAACCTTCATCCATCATAATCTGCTTAACAGTTGCACTAACCCCACCAAATGTAGCAGCAGCAACCTTAGTCACAGCCTCCCCATGAACTTGAGTCATCAACCTAGTCTTAACAACATCCAATGGAGTTGTCAATGAGGCCGAAATCACCCCGGCCAACGCCCCACAACAAACACTCTCCAATGGTGTCATTTTCCCCTTCTCCGTCTTCCTCAAAACCGCGGCTTTCAGCCACTCAAACGAGGCATAACTCAAAACCCCTGAAGGCAAATTCCTCAGCAATGTAGCTGAGTAACCAGCATACAACCCCAAAATGCCATCCTTCTCCAAAATTCTAACAACAACCTCCCAAGACCGGCCCTTCGCACCCGCCTGCATTCGCTGCGTAATCAATTCCTTAGGCACCATTATAGCAGAAGACACAATATTCCCCATTAAACCAGCAGTAGGAGGAATCAACACAGGAGGAAAACTATCAAATTTAGACAAAAACGACTTCCCAAATTCACAAGTAGCAAAATAAACAGCAGAAGAAAAAGTAGAACCAACTAATGCAGCTGAAACCCCACTATAAAACCCTAAAATACCTTTCGATTGGAAGGTCTTAACAATGGCGTCAAGGGTATTTGCGTAAATTTGACTAGCCCCTTTTGTCTGAAGCTTCGTCTTCACAGTTTCAAGCGGGTAAAGGCAAACATAAGTAAAAGCTCCGGCAGATCCTCCGGCACCCGCTCCGATAGACGCGCGTTCGAAGATTGAAAGGTCTTTTAAGGCAGAATTTGAGGTGGGTTTTTGCGGAATTTCAGAATTGGGTGTTGGGTTTTGGAGCTTGAGTTCCATGGAAATGGAGGTTGAGAGGAATTGGGGGAGACAGACATTGTTGTTAATGGTGGATTTTCGGGTTTTGGGGGAAATGAGAATGGCATTTAGGAGAGAGAAAGAGGTGTTGAAATCGAAATCAGAGGTTAAATTGAGGGGTATTGGTGATAATGGAGGTAGTGAGAATGATGATGATGAAGAGGTTAATCGAGCTTTCATGGTGATTGTTAGGATTGGAAGTTGAAGTTCTGGGTTTTTGAGTGAATGATTTGTGAACGTTGAGAATTCGATTTGTATACGACGTGTTTGGATGCCGGGCACACGTACCGCCATCTCTTTACCTTTTTTTTTTTTTTTTTTTTTTTTTTTTTTTTTTTTTTTTTGGGAATTTCCTCATGAGGAAAATGAATGAGGAAAATTTTCCTAATGGGCTTCACCGTAGCGAGGAAGTTGGTTTTCCTCACGAGTTATCCTCATGGCATGATAATGATGGTAAGACTTATTATGGAAGGTAAAGTTAATGTTAGAACTTTGACGTTTGGTTCGCGGAATATAGGTATGAGGTATGGGGTTTAGAAACCTTGGGGGAGATGGGCTTGGCACATTACATTCCCTTAGATATCAAATAAAAGGAGGGAATAGTGAGAGAAACCATTCCAAAATTGAACCAAACACATGGTATTAAATATCAAGTTCCATCCCGATACCGCCTTAACCCCATTTCTGATTCCAAACTCATACCACTTCACGAACCAAACGCCCCGGAGAATTACTAACACTAGGGATCGAATATTCCTTTTACGCACATAACTTACAAGCTACTTCTTCAATAGTTTCATATTGACCTTATAAGAACTAATAGGGTTACACGATATAACTATTATGATACAAAGAAAAGCTCAGTTAATTTAGATTGTATTGAGTTATGGTGAAGGGGGTGCCAACAAGGTATAGTCAAGGTCAGAAAATATAAAATTGGGATCCCTGCTAAAGATGATCAAATCAAGGCCTCTTACACCACCAATTAGACCTGTCATCGGGTCAGTCAGGTCGGGTCGATCCGGGTCACGGGTCACGAGGTCGAGAAATGCTTAACCCTAACCCTAAGTTTCTGGTTCGGGTCAACCCAACGGGTTTATAACAATTTTTTATTTAATTTTTTTATGGCTAATTTTTAGTAATTTCTAGTTTTTCAAGCTTACTTTGCTTTTTTATTTTCCAATTTTTTAATCGAACATTTTCGCCACATTATTTTTAATTAGCATTACATACTACATAATTTAAATCGTCACCATTTCAACAAAGCATATCAATTCCTAACTAATAAAAAAATAATGAAATTAAAAATAAAACTTTTAAACATCCAAAAATCCAAAAAATTAAGGAGGAGGTCAACATTAATATATATGTGCAATATAATATCTCTTTTGACATAATATCAGTAGACCTGTTAACCGGTGGCATGACGGTGATGTGGGTTATGCGGATTCAATTAGTGTGGGTCGATAATTGGTGTAATAAGTGATTGGTGTGGAGTTGAGCAAGAGTTATATGAGATAGATAAATGAGAAATAAATGGAATGAATGTCCGATAGTAGACAAACGATCAAACTTAATCAATAAACTAATATTGATTTTCAAATAGTTGTTTTTTTTTTTTTACAAAAACTCGTAAAATCGAGTCGACAGGTCGAGTTCGAGTTCGGCTCGGGTTTGACCCACAAATTTGCGGGTCAAACGGGTTTGGGTTAAATCGGGTTACGGGTCAAAAAAGTTTGTTCAAGATCCACAAAAACGGATCGGGTCAAAAATTGACCGGCCTATTCAAGCCTTTTGCTTGATAATGCATTATATATGGAGACCAAAAAAGTTATACCCTTGATGAAATACTACATTGAACCAATATCATTGGTCAATCATCAGCCTACGAGGTCTATGGAAAGAAGCTTTTAGGAGATTCTCTTATTTGGGTTTCATAAAAAGAGCTCGAATTTTTTATGGTACAACCTACTCGTGGACAAGCCTTGCTAACATATATTTGAAAATCAATCTATAAAAAGTGTGTGAATGTCTTTATCATAATTAATACTCCTTCCGTCCCTTAGGTGATTCAAGGGAATTAAGAAACTTAACTAAGAAGTACAACTCTATGGAGAAAAGAAATTGACAATGATTAGCGAACTAATTCTAGAGAGAGAAAGTCTTTTTTTTGTTTACCGGTTTTCACAAGAAATCCAATAATAATTTTTTTGTCTTTATTTAATGTCCACTAATAATGCACTAATAAGAGCTGAATCCATGTGAATTTTTATTGACCAATGAAATCAGAGTATTTCATTACAATAACCCAATCAAATAACTTTACACGGATTGCTCTCTAAATTAAATCAAAATGTTCAACTCTATATAATGAGAATTTGATTCTCTCATTAACAAAATTTAAACTTTTCACAAAACCAAAACCAATCAAATTGTTACTAGAAATCGGTGAATTTAGGAGAGAGAAGAAGAAAAAACCTAGGTTTCTTCAAGATTGAACCCAAAACCAGAGAAAAACGAAGAGAGAGAAAGAGGGGATAGAAAAAATTAATGCTAAAGGAGAGAAGAAGAGTTTAGAAATTTAGGATAAAGTGGCACAATTATCTGGGAAAATTATGGGGGTAATTTGGGAAGGACAGAGGAAAAGGACAAAAATATGAGGATATTTTGGTAAAAATTAAATATTAATGTTAGTTGGAAAAGGCAAATAAGACTATCAATTTGAAATTTAAATTTGGCCATAAAAACTATCAATAAGGGACGCAGTGAGTACCTTTGAAAGTTACCATCATATTGGTGTTAAGGAAAAAGAAAACTAGGGAATTGGATTTTCCTTGTCCGACATCACATGTGTTATGCATCTTCTATTAGCTAGAGAATGAAAATGTGTCATTTCACAATTTCTTTTGATTATAACATTATTTTTTAATCATGAAAGCGGACCACTTCACTAAGGTGCCTATTTAACAACAACGTGTCAATAAGTTAATATGACATCTATCTAATACACATTCAATTCAACTACAAATTTTATTAATGCTTATTTAGATGAAAAAGAAATTTGTAAAAGATAAAATCTGGAAATTGGAAAGAGTTATCGTTGGAGAATTATATATATATATATATATATATATATATATATATTGTAAAAGGTTAACAAAGAGCACATGAAATGGAAGTTGGGTTTCATTTGATGAAAACCTTACAGATTGAACTCAAACTGATAAACTAGCTAAAATTGATAAGGTAGTATCCGAAATTAAAATGTTGAAACTAATAACTTATGATTCACCGCCTTGCAAATTTCAAGTACTCGAAAAACATCCCAAGCAAAGCTTAATTTCATGCGCTACCTTTATCAATTTCAACTAATTTATCAGCTTTAGTTCATATTCAATTAGAGTTATCAAACAAATTAATATCTTACCTAACCTGAAGATGATGAGAGAAACCCTTGCTAACCACATCGGAATCAAAACAAAACAAGTCAACAGCCTGAAATCGATCCAAAATTTAACCCCTAAAATATCTAGCATTCCAGCCACGTCATCCCTAAACGCCACGCATTGGCTCAACACCTAGTAGATATTTATATGGCCTTCTAAGAAGCCTTTTTTTTAGGCAAACCTTTGAAGGCCCTGTTCTTTAGAGCTGCTCTGCTCAGCACTGCTGAGATCTGCTCTACTCTGCCTTGCCCTACTCTGCTTTGCTTAAAACTAATAATTAGTTAAAATAATTAAAATTTAATAAAAATAAAAATAAAAATATTTAATTTTTATTAGAGCATTTCCAATGGTGGGCATTTTATTTGCTCATGGGCATATTTGATGAGCAAATAAAATGCTAACCACTTACAATGGTGAGGAAAAACAAAAACCCCAAAAAAAGCCCATGGGCAAATCCAAAAATGCCCACAACATGGGCATTTTTATTGATGAACAGTGATAGTGGTGGGCCCCACAACTTGCTGCAGTGTGTAAAAAAATTTGGCTGCCAGCAACTCAAAACGACGCGTTTTGGGCAAGCAGCGCCTCAAAACGCGTCGTTTTGAGGGTCAGAATTTTTTTTTTTAAAAAAAAAGAAAGCCTGCTGTTGCGCGTCAGGCATGATGGCGAATGGGCGCACGACACGTGTCCTGGGCAGTCTATTGGCCAATGAAAAAATTTTGTAATTCATTTTCTTAAAAATATATTTAGTAAAAAAAAAAAGGGTCATAAAATTAAATTCTCTATAAATAGACATGCATTTTGATATAATTTTGTAAACACTTTAAATCCTCCATATTTTTATTTTCTTAAGCATTTTAAATTTGTAGAAGCATATTTTTGTTGCAATTCACCCATATTCAGGTATTTTTTTTTTTAATATTTAAATTCAGTTATGTAAATAAATTAGTATATATGTGAATTTTTGGAAAAAAAAAAATGTAGGCCACGTAATTATATTGCATTATGTAATTGAAGAAAGTTGTTGATATTTTCTCCATAAATTACTAAATTTGTTGTTATTAAAGTTTTGCAATTATTGGTTAATATTATATTTCTAATATATACATGTAGTTATGTATTTAAATTAGTATATATGTGATTTTTTGGAAAAAAAAAATTGTTTTCAATGTAATGTAATTGCATTATGTAATGAAACAAAGTTGTTGATATTTTCTCAATTCAATACTAAATTTGTAGTTAATAAAGTGTTGCAATTATTGGCTAATTTTTTTTTCCTAATAAATTTAGTTATGTATTAAAATTGGTATATGTGTGTTGTTTTGAAAAAAATAATATAGTAGGCCATGTAATGTAATTGCATTATGTAATTGAATAAAGTTTATGATATTTTCTCCATACATTACTAAATATGTAGTTAATAAAGTGTAGCAATTATTGGTTAATTTTTTTTGTTTAATATATAATTTTAGTTATGTATTAAAATTAGTATGTATGTGATTTTTTGAAAAAAAAATAATGTAGGCCATGTAATGTAATTGCATTATGTAATTGAAGAAAGTTGTTGATATTTTTTTGGATTTGTTGTCATTTTAATTTGTTTTTTAAATTAATGTTTGTAAAAATATTTATCTTTTGTTTTTTGATGCAGAATCTTTTAATGGATCCAAACAACCCAAATTTCTAACAACAATTTTCGGGTTTTAATGATGATTTCCTAACTAATCCCGAGTTTCAATTGTTCTTGCAAAGAATGGGCAATACATCTTTGCAACCACCTCCACAGTATCAGACACCCACTCAGTTTCCCCTATGAAACCATGTTAATGAAGAATGTACACCCGAAACTGAACATGATAGCAACACACAATTCGATGAGAGCGAAGAGGAAAGCGTACCAGAGACGCCGCAGTATCCTCCACCAGTTCCCATACTGAAATCCAATAAGGTTGCTGCACGAGCTCGAATTTGGTTTGTTGCAGAAGATGAAACTCTGATTGGGTTGTACTTGGAGATCAGCGAGAATGCTATTAAAGGTACGAGCCAGAAAGCAACTTCCCTCTGGCGCGATGTACATGCAGCTTATCAAATGGCTCATGCGGAGAAGCCGCATATACTTCCTCCAAGACCTATGAAGAGTCTGACGTCGCACTGGAGAAGGTTGGCAGCAGACACACTACAGTGGATATCTTGCTATGATGAAGCGGGTAGACTTTCGGAGGGAGGGAGTGGTTACAACGAAGCTGACCGTATAAAAAGTGCGTCGAAGCTTTTTCATCTCGCCCAAGGTCGCAATTTTGCTTTTCCTCACGCGGTTGAAATGCTTAATAAAGATCCAAAGTGGAGGCCAAAGCTGAGATGGTCCTTGTCAAAGAAGGAAAGAAAAGCTGTTTGTGATGTTGAGGAGCAAGGTAGTGCTGGAAGTGGGAAGAGGTCCATAGATGATGGAGGGGATGAAACCCCTAGGGATGGTTTTTCATCCGGAGGAATACGACGACCCGAAGGTGTGAAGAAAGCAAAGGCCAAGCGTAAAGGGAAAGAAGTAGCATCAGAAAGTGGTTCGTCTGAGCTTAGCGAACGAATGAAGGAATTCGCTACAATTCGCGAGAGGGAGGCCATTCTGAAGAAAGAGAGGATCAAAATTGAAAAGGACAAGGAACAGAGGAAAAGGGAGGAACTTGACATTCATAAGATGAAAACCTGGTTTGATATGGTGCAAGCTCTGAAGAATTCGCCTACGCCACTCACTCTTGAAGAAGAGTTGTACAAGAATTTTTTACTAGGTAAATTACAGGGCTTTTAACCATGTTTGGTTGTAGTAGGTGTACGCTTGTATTAGTTAAGTTTTTAATTATGTGCAATGTAGTCTTTTATGTTTAACTTGTATTAGTGGTGTGTTTAATTTCAATGTTATATGTAAACTTGTATTCTGATTTTCCAATATTGAATGACAACTTGTTTAACAAGTTGATTTCAGTTGTCATTGTTACCGACATAGTTGCATTCAATTGTTGTCATTGGGTAGTCACTTTTTTTTTTTTCTGATTTCACTTTAACTTTGGGTCATTCATACCAACATAATTGCAATAACTCTTTGTCATTGAGTAGTCACATTTTTGTCATTGTGTAGTCACATTTTTCTGAATTAACTTTGTCAGTATGCTTTAACTTTGGGTCATTGACACCGACATAATTGCAATAAGTCTTTGTCATGGTGTAGTCACATTTTTCTGAATTCACTTTGTCAAGATTTGTCATTGTCAACTAGCATAGTATACCAATTCCGTGGCTGAAAATTTGATTGCTTTAGTTGGTGTGGTCATTCAGATTTGTAACAACATATTCATTTGATATATTTGCTATATATAGTAGGCATGGCACATATCCACAACCACACCAATTCAGAAAATTACAATATTAATACATGATGTATTCCAGACCATCATCAAGTTCAAGTTCAAGTTCATCTTCTTCCAATAATGAAGAATATGATCAACTCGTTGATGAACTCTTCACATACCAACCCCCATCTTTCCTCATGCCCCAAACACAATCCCAACGTACTTCAAAAACACGTAGAGGGGGTACGAACAGAAGAGATAGGGAAATGGGACATGCCAGGCTGTTTAATGATTATTTTTGCGATAATCCTGTGTACAACACCACCCAATTTAGAAGAAGGTTTCGTATGCAACGACCTTTGTTTTTACGTATAATGAACAAGGTCGTTGAAGGTGATGTTTACTTCCAGCAGCGTAGGGATGCAACTGGAAAGTTAGGCTTATCACCTCTGCAAAAATGTACAGCCGCGATAAGAATGTTAGCCTACGGCATGGATGCAGACGCCGTTGATGAATACGTTCGAATCAGTCAGTCAATCGCTCGAGTTGCCCTACAACGTTTTTGTGCCGGGGTCATTGATCAGTTCGGAACCGAGTACATGCGAAACCCTACAACTGATGAATTGGCCCGGATACTGCATCAAAATGAAATGCGTGGTTTTCCAGGCATGATAGGCAACATTGATTGCATGCATTGGGAATGGAAGAACTGTCCAACGGCTTGAAAAGCGCAGTACGCTGGTAGGAACAAGAAAGCAACGCTAATACTGAAAGCCGTTGCGGATCAGGATTTATGGATATGGCATTCCTTCTTTGGTATTCCCGGATCTTGGAATGATCTTAATGTGTTGTACCGTTCACCAGTGTTCGATGAGGTTCTGCATGGCCAAGCTCCTCCGGTAAATTTTACAGTTAACGGCCATGAATACAACATGGCTTATTACTTAGCCGACGACATTTATTCGAAGTGGGCAACTTTTGTTCAGGGTATCACATTCCCTCAACTGGCCAAAGATAAAATGTTCGCTGACCACCAGGCTGCCGCTCGAAAGGACGTTGAAAGAGCTTTCGGTGTTTTGCAAGCTCGATTTGCAATAATACGAAAATCGTCGTTGGCGTACAATGAGGACATACTGCGGGACATAATGAAAGCATGTATCATTATGCACAACATGATTGTTGAAGATGAGCGCCACAACTACACTCGAGCCGAAGCTCTAAGAGCCTTCTACGAAGAAGATCAACAAGAATTAACACCAGCATCAACGTCTACAACGCCACCGTTTGAATTCAATGTAGGTCAACCTACCGACTTTGACTTTAACGCATTTCTACAGCGAAAAGCTTCCCTCCTTGATAGAGAAATTCATCTATCTCTGAAACGTGATTTAGTCGAACATATTTGGTTACAATACGGGCCACGTAATTAGGGAAAAATTAGCACGACTTTAGGCCAAGTACTATGGCCTACCTACTTTTCCGTACGCAGTCGAGTTATTTTTTAATTGTTCTGTTTATTTTATTTCCTAAGTTTAATTACGCATGACGTTGCAAATGTAATTGGTTTCTAGTATTGTACCGCTTCTAAAATAAATAAAATATTTAAGAAATTTTGAGTTTTTTTTTACAATTATTTCATATAACGTACTTAATTTTACGACAAAGTTTAACGATAAAAAAGACAAAAATAAAAAAAATGAGTTACACAAATTTAAACTAGTTTTTATTTATTTGGAGTAATATTGTTAAAATATAAATGAAATTAATAATAAAGAACTGTTGTGTAGGAGAGAGAAAGTAATGGTGGGGTATTGAAAAAGTAAGAGAGAGAGAGAGTGGTGGGTGGGCATTTTTTTTGCTCACCATTGGGAGAGAAAATGTGAACAAAATTTGCCCATGAGCAAAACTGATTTGTTGAGAGAGAAAGTGGGTAGAGAGAGAGAGTGGGTGAGCGTTTTTTTTTGCTCACCATTGAGAGTGGTCTTAATAATGACTAATATTCATATAGAATAATGATTAATATTTAATAATAATAATAATAATAATTAATATTTTATAATAATAATAATAATAATAAATATATAATATTAATTGATAATAACAACTAATATTTAATGGTAATAATTAATATTTTATTTTACTTAACACATTTTCTAATGTTATAAAAAGAGTAAATAAATCTAATAATAATAATAATAATAATAATAATAATAATAATAATAATAATAATAATAATAATAATAATAATAATAATAACAACAACAACAACAAAAATAATAAAATAACAATGTTGAAATATGCTCTGCTCTGCTCTGCTAAAATCTGTTTTGCTATGCCCTGATGTGCTCTACTCTTCTGAAATCTGCCATGCTCTACCCTGGTCTGCTCTACTCTGATGAAATCTGCCTTGCTCTACCCAAAAGCTCTAAAGAACAGCAGAAATTCTTGTGTGGACCTGGTCCACAATAATATTATTGTGGATCTCAGATTTATATACACGCAAAACTAACGTTATTTGGAACATAGTGACTGTAATTTTAACATAATATCCTTATTTTTTAACATAGTAACCTTTAATTAAAACTTGTGTAACCTTTAATGTTGTTTCTGTTTACATCACAAAAAATTAACCTCTTAGAGCATGCACAATGGTGGGGATTCATGAATCCCCTTAATTCTTCTCTCTCATTCTCTCTTTTTGACACATCATGTCTCTTTCTTCCACATCATTTTCCACTATCTCCATCCTCTTCCTCTTCCTCTTCCTCTTTCTTTATTTTTTCCCACAACAAAGGGGATTCATGAATCCCCTTCCTTTTTATTTATACCCTACCATCTTCTATTAAATTAGATATTTGCAAATTTAATATGACAAATTATTATAATTAGATTAATGACAATTTTAATATATTACAAAAATATGGAGAAAATGAAGATTTTGAAAATAGTGAAAATATGGAGAAAATGAAGATTTTGAAAATATGGCAAATTTAGGTTCATTTTATCGAGAAAAAAAATATATAACCGTTGGTGTTTTTTTTTTAAAAATAAGTTACCGTTTTTTTTATTACCGTTTGAATAATTTTAACCGTTGTAAATGTCAACCAATTACAAAACAACAAATGTCAGCAAAAGCAAGCAACACGTGGGCCCCTGCCAGCCCGGCCAGCCAGCAGGAAGCTGCCACGTCGCTCTTGCTTATCCCCTTCCCCACCTTTTCCAATCCCCTTCCCCATCTCTTCTTCCTCTTCCCAAAGAAGATTTACCATATTCCTCTTCCTAAGAGGGTTCCCCATTTCACCTCTACAATGAAGGGGATTCCTCTTAAGAGGAGAGAGAAGGCTAAGAGGAGGGTAAATCCCCTCCATTGCACATGCTCTTATAACTTTTATAATGTCACAATCGCTTTATTTCAATATAATAACCTTTATTTAATGTTGTAACTATTTTTTTATTAATAAAATAATAATAGTATCTCTAATATTAATGGTCCACAATAAATTTATGTGAAACAGTTCTATTGAAGAATTTATAAAAGAACGGTGCCTAAGAAACCTAAAAACATTCATCCTGAGTTTTGCTGTTCGACTCTGGCCAATTAGGGTTTATCGTGAACACAGCACTCAAGGACTCAAGGTTCTCCTTTCTCTCTCCTCTCTATTACGCAACCTCTCTATTATATTTATCGGTCCATCATAATTAGATCTGTATTCTCATCATCATTTGTCGATTGATTTTCTCTTCTTTGTTTGATTTGATTTCATTATTTTGAGGTCAGATCTGTGATAAATTTTCTAGCTTTTTGTTGATTAATTGTTTAATTCTGTTCTTCACAATAGGTTTGTTTAATCTATAGCATGAATTCTTGATTGTGTGTTCTTTTTGTTTGAATAAATGTGATTTGAAAACCTAATTTTCATTTTTCATGGATTTTGCTGAAGTTCATGCCTTTTCGATTGAGAGTTTTGTGATTCATGAATATGATTTCATTGTTTGCTGGATAGACAAGCAGAATGATGCTGTTCATGTGATTTGATTTTGTGGTCTCGTTAAGCTTCGGTGCTTGGGGGTTAGAGTATTGGTTTTTGGGGTTTGTAATCAATGTTCGGTGCTTGTGAGGGGTTAGAGTATTGGTTTTTGGGGTTCGTGGCTCGTAATCGAAGTCGATTGGCTTGCGTTAGATCTTAGTAACTGGACATATAGGGGGGTAAACTAGGATATCAATATATCGCAGATGACACACACATTTGTTGGAGGTTATTGTGAGTAGTTATTGGAATCCCTTGTCGAAGCCAGAAAGGGAGAATAGTATCCATTTTTGTAAGCAGGCTTACTGCTTGCGCATTTGTTGGAGGGTATTCCAGATCCTCAGCTTGCTTTAAGTATTGGTCAATTGTTGATCTCAATGGCTCGATAGTCGAAATAAAAGAGATTGGTTTTTGGGAGTGGAGAGATAGGCTGAGAGTACTGAGCTTATAAGAATTGTTATTAAGATATGTGAGTTGAAAATTTTGTTCTTTAATAAGTAACAAAAGGAAGATGTGAAGGAGAAAAGAATGCTGTTGATGGTGGAGGATGGATGATGTCCTCTCTCCTCTCTCTTTCCTCTAATCGAAATTAGGGTTGGGTATTGATGGCTGCAAGATGGTGGTTGTGGAGGCGGTGTTGGGGTTGAGGAGTGGAGGAAGATGTGTTGTTTGTGTGGTGGTAGTTGGATGTCTATCACTCCATTTTTTCCTTAGGTTTGGACATTTTCCATTAATTTTGAATTGTATATAGATATACTGTTGGTTTCTTTCATTTTGATGTGATTTAGTGATAGTGGTGGCTTTTTGCAGTGGTAGAGGGAGGTGGCAGGGTTGGAGTAATGGGTTAGGGTGAGCTATTAGGTGGTTTAATATAAGTGTTTCAATTCATGTGGGGTTCGCTTTTAGCCATCTTCTTATAAAGACTGAAAAATTTCGATGCAGGTAATACTTAAATAGAGGAAATAGAATTTATTCTGTGCGTTCAATGTCCTGATAGGCTGTTGGTTATAAGCATAATTTGAAATACTTCTCTGCTTCTTGTGCATGATTCTAATTTGATACAATGTACTTCTTTGGATTTTATATACACCTCAACAATACTGATGCTCTTTTGATGTCTTTATTTGTTCAATTGGAAGATTTTTGATGGAAATGTTGTGTTCACTTTATTTGTATTCTGTAGATAAAATCATGGGAGACGTGGATGAATTTCGCTGTTTCGTTGGAAGCCTTTCTTGGTCTACGACTGACAGAGGTTTGAGAGATGCATTTGAAAAATATGGTCGTCTGCTTGAAGCGAAAGTAAGATTTTTTTATTCCTTTGTTGGGCATTTGTCACAGTTTTTTTTAGATCCTAGATTGATTATTGTATTCATGTTAGTATGATCCTTTTGGTATTTACTAAGTATTTAGCTAAGTTTTTTTCTTTGGCCGAGCCTAGCATGTAATTTGTGGTGTGAAATAGGTCATGTTGATTAATAAATAAATAAATAAATAAATAAATAAATAAGGGCAGTGCTAATCTCGTCAATATGATAAAATATTGGGTTATGATAAATTTTGGGTGCTGTCTATATTGAATCTGTAGTGATCTACTTTTATTTTCTACATATCTATCACTAAATTTATTTATTTATTTATTTTTTCCTTTGTGAGTGGTTGTAAAAGGGTTGAGTGGTTGTAAAAGGGTAGAATTATTTCTTTTCTTTCTTGTGTATGAATTCATTGCGTGAATGTTGGATGTACCCTGGCTATGCACTATGAACTGGTCTTCCTCTGCTTTATTTTAATATTTTAACTGTAATTTTGCATATTGCTGGTAGACTTAATAGTAATTATCTTCTTAAGAAATTTTGCAAATTATAGCTTCACATTGGCTTCAATTTTAATATTACAGATGGAATTGTGTTGATTAATCACTGATTGTGTATTGTTGTATAGTGGCGAATCGAGTTAGGTTCAATAGTGTTTTATAAAATGTGAATTCTTATTTGTAGAATTGTGTTTGCATCTTTTGATTTGCGGTAGCTCTATTAAGTGTAGTTTTCTTTAGGTTCTTTTTGATTGTTTGATTGATTGATTTTAGGTTCTTTTTCTTGGTTTCATCGAATCCTGACCAGTGGCTTTTACTTTTTAATACAGGTTGTTTTAGACAAATTTTCTGGACGATCTCGTGGATTTGGTTTTGTTTCTTTTGATGACAAGAGAGCTATGGAGGAAGCTATTGAGGAAATGAATGGTGTGGATTTAGATGGACGTCCCATAACTGTAGAAAGGGCTCAACCCACCCAAGCCTCTTCTAGGGACCGAGATGGGGACTATGACCGTGACCGTGATCGTGGTGGTCGTGATCGCGATCGTGACCGTGATCGTGACCGCCCTCGTGGGTTTGGCGGAGGTCCAAGGGGATCTGGTGGTGGCGGTGACTGTTTTAAATGTGGTAAGCCCGGACATTTTGCTCGTGAATGTCCATCTGATGATGGTGGTAGGGGTGGTGGCAGATATGGTGGGAGAGGAGAAAGAAAAGGTGGTGGCAGCTATGGACCTGACCGAGGTGGGGATCGCTACAGCGGCGGAGGTGGTGGTGGAGGTGGTGGTGGACGTTACAGAGATTCTGGTAGCCGTGGAGCAGGATATGGAAGTGATAGGTACAGCCGTGACCGTTCTGGCCCATATGACCGTGCAGGATCTGGTGGCTACCGCTAATTCTTTGAAAGGACGATAGGTATGTAACAGTCTTTCTGCTTGTGGTTTGTCATTTTCTATTAAGCTATGCTTATCCAATTATCATTTTGATTCCAGCTGTGCAGAGGATGTCTGTTCTACAAGATTATCTTCATGAAGAGAAGGAGCTTTTTACTGTGTTGTACTTAATGGAAGACATCTTATGTGGTTTCAGACTTGGAATGCGTAATTAGAGTTGAACTATTTTCTGTATCTACATCAGGAAAGCCATTTGTCCCAGTGTGGGAAAATTTTCTGTTTCAGGAGCTCAGTGATGTTATGATGCGATCTTATGCTTGCTTAGTGGAGACTTCTGATTTGGCTCTTTAGATATATGAATCTTGTTTTCGCTGCTATACCTGGCTGTTTACATGCACGTGCATTGCTCTTTCTTCGCTGCCGTTTGGTATTGGTGTGGGTTAATGGGACATATGACTGGGTTGAGCGCCTTGTTCCTGAGTATATATCCATTTTGGTTGCTATGATCTGTGTACGTGTAACTGGAAGGGTGCAAGCTCTTTTGTTCTTGTGGCATTATCCTTTGCTCTCCCCCCCTGCCTAATGCAATTTTAAAACAAATTTTGGAAAAGAATTGAGCTGGGTAATTTCTTATCCTAATTCGATGCTTGTTCAAATTTCAATGTTATTATGGCATTAATTGTTTTGTGCTTTTGGCAGGCTGTATTGGCCTTTTGTGGTCGTTTTTTGGTACATGGTTGGGTTCCATTGTTGCTAATGTTGTCCTTATTTGTGGTCCTCTAAGCTCTTTGGAATTCATCAACAAGATGAATATGAGGGTGCAGTGAGGCAGGGTGTTCCTTTTGTAATCTGCTAAACGAATGGAAACTCTGGTCGTTTCTAGATCCGTGATCTTATAGGTTGATCAATTTACAGAGATTGGCTCTTTTTAAGTCATGTGTATACACTTGTTATCATGCATGCTTGTTTATTAACAAGGTCCTGACCAGTGGGGTAGTTCTTGAAAGTTGGTCCTTTTCCCTACTTTTAAGTTCCTATTAGGCTCGAGGATATGATAGGGAGAATCACGAATTGCCCTGGGAATCATTCTGCACTGTTGTTTTTAGGGGAGTGAGCTACTTGTCCTGTTCCTGCTGAGAATTCAATTATTCAATTCAGGCAGAAGTGATGAATGATGTTTTAGTGTGGTTGGATAAAATGATTTATTTGGTCATATAGAGTTTAGGCACATGCTAGTGTGGAATGGTATGTCTAATGGCTTTTTTGATTTTATTTTCCTGAGTTCTTTTCTGTGCTGTTTTGTTGTGATACTGTTAAGCGGCTTACTGCAAATCTCTGTGTGTGTGTGTGTGCCTGTCTACCTATGTGTCCCATTCTTTTTTACCTTATCTGTGGCTTGGTGCATAAAAAACATGAAATTTGTATTAGGTGTTGTAGTGGTCGATCTATGCATCAATCATCATGCTGATTTTATGAAACTCAAAGTTCAATTAAGTATAATCTTAAGGATATATTGTTGATGCCAACTCTAAATAATGATGATGCAAAGTTGATGGCCAAAATCTTTCATTGGGCTTCTTGATTATGATGAGCTCATTTCCTATTCTAAATAACTGTAGTCTGTAGTTAGTTAGCTATTTCATGTAATTGTGTAGTTCTTGTTGCATTACATATTCTTGCAATTACTCCCTGAGACTCGAGTTTTATGAATTAGATCTATAAGCAAGTGTTTTTTTGGTGATCTGGAAAACGATAGTAAAATAGTTTGAAATTGGATTATCTGGATCTGGTCTATTGTATAAAGTTATGGAGGGAAATTTTTTTTTTGATTGTCACATCTAGTTAGGAACTCTTTGGTGTTTTGGCTAATGAATAGTAGAAAGTTGAAATTTGATTTGTCGGCTAATGTTCCCATGCTGAAAACATGATGTTTTTGTTATTGTGGTTGCGAGTGGTCCTGCTTTGTTGTGAATGATTTGTTTACTCCATTGTTTATTGGGAGGTTGTTTTTTTGGTTGTCTTGATATTTCGTCTTCTAGAAGACGAAGGTGATATACCCTTTTTTAGAGTATAGTTGCTTTGCACATCTAGAATTCTTTGGCAGGATACTGAATATAGAGTGAGGAACACCAAGGTCTTCTAGTTGAGGAGGAAAAGCTACACTGGGACTATTATTGATTTTGGGAGTGTTGTTGATTCAAATTCTTCTGGTACCGTTTTGTATCATGGCAGTTACACAAAATTGTGCTACTCTGGGAATCTTTGATGAGTTCTTAAGAGGTTGGTTTAGTGAGTTTTCGCCTGGCCGTGATATCTTTGATCACTGACATTGGTACTGTGAGGGCTTGAAGAATCACGAGGAAATGTGAGGGCTCGTTAGTGCTCTTATGTTGCTGTGTTGCTAGGCTAGCCTCTTTGAGCTATATTGTATGGCTATTCATCAATTATATTCTGTTAATTTATAGGAAAACAGTCCATTTTAAAAATTACATTTTGTTGAGATTATGCTCACTTATTTTGTTTTTTCAAATATTATTTGGCTTTTGAAAAGTAATGATTTCTCTGCTGTAGTTTCAAATTTTGGTGTTGATGAGAAAGATGTATGTTACTCTGTATTAAAACTTAAGTATCCTAAGATGTACAGCTAAATTATAAAGCCCCGAAGTAACCTAAGACGTACATATTATAATGTAATATACTTCGTATATATATTGGCCCGAATCAGTGAATATTGGAACTTAAATTCTATTAAGAATAGAGTTTCGATGTTGTGAACATTCCATTGTTTAATTGTGTGAACAGGGCTCCTTAAATTTAAACAAATGCATCGAATTATTAGAACAATGGTTCACAAGACAATTATTACTTGCTCACTAATTTGATTTTGGTTGACTTTTAAAAGATTTTGGTAGCTGGTAAGAAATATTTTTCTTTTCAAAAGTAATACGGAGTGCTTGGTTTAGTAGTAAGGATTGTGTATCACAAATTACAATCATGGGGGTGTCGAATCAATCTCCAACTAAGGGCAACTTGAGGGTGTGAATTTCCTTGCCCTAGTCTCCACATTCCAATTTTCTTGCTATTTCTCTACATCTAATCGTATTGCCTTGTGAGAGGTTTCAAATTGGTAGGGTATCCATATTATATGAAGTTAAAGAACGACAAATTTGACAGGAAGTACTTGTATAGAAAGCAGCACATTGATCAATTATCCGAATTGTTCACTGGACAAAATAGTCAATCATTGAAGAATGTATAAATATGAATCTTTGAAGAATATCGAAAGAAAGATCCTGGATCATGAAGCATGAATTTTTTGACTTCGGCAGAGAATGTGTCCTCGATGTTAAGGATATGACAATTATTTATCAAATATATATGAGAAACTCTCGACCATAATAAATATTGTACATCCGTTTCGTATTTGCGTTGCATGTATGACTGATGGTGATGCTGCTTAGTGTGAGTATCTTGCACAAGCACAACATTGGTAGTGGTTTTGTGGGAGTGAGAGTGAGACAGTATTCGTGTTTCACAAGAAGATAAGATGCTCATACTCTATTTTTTTTTTTTTTTTTTTTTTGAAGACGCTATGGTAAAAAGGGTAGATTTAAAGTTTTAAACTCAAAAATGGACTAATTACGATAATATTGGAATTGGATTTTACCGATTTGGACCGGTTTAAAACTTTATTTTGTACTTTTTTTTTAATTTTTTTTTTAAAAAAAGGCGGCTAATGATTACGACTTCTTTTTCAACCAAGTCAAATATAATAAAACTACAATATAGTTCATGATAATTCTCCCAACATATTTAGAGAGGAAACCAATAATTTCAAAGGTTTACATACAACTAAAAACCAATTGCGATCAAAGACCAGTTTTTAAAAGGTTGAGACCTTAAAATCAATTTTTTTCGACTAGAAAAACGTATTGGCTCTCTTTTGCCTAATTCGGACTATTTTGTTTTAAACACCTCTAGTTATTATGTGAGATTGAGGAATTTGAGAACTTGTTCTCTTCATGTTTGATTTAATTTTATTAACTAGTGATTAGTCCGGGCATTGTCGCGGGTTGCTACTTTTGTAATCGTGCAATTGGGATAATTTTTTAAGGATTTTGAAATCTGAAATTGACATTATTGAATGTGCTTTTGTTTTAATAATTAAATCATGTGGTTTAAACTTATGTACATTTCTTTTTCATATTTATGACAAAGCTTGATAATGGGCTAAGATGGTTAAATAGTTAACTTTGTTAATAAGTGGTTGGGGGTTCAAATCCCCTTAATAATGTGGATTGCTTGGGTGATGATGTGGCATAAAGAGATGTTGGGTAGGTGATGTAGCGTCATGAAGTATTTGTGAAGTGATGTGGCTTAATTTCAAAGGATCTAAGTGCCACATGGACGTTTTTATAAACGCCTTTTAATATATTAATATAGATATTAAGCCTACTTAAAATTTGATATGATGTACATGTTTGACAAAACTTTGACCGCATTACACTAATGAAAGAAATATCACTATCAAGTGAGATGATGTAATATTTTTCTTAACTTGTATTCCCTAAAAAAGTAATTTTTATAATTATTTTATAAATACACACGTAGACTAAAGATATTTACTAATTAATAGATGAAAATAAAAAGATTTAATCTGGTATAAATATAATAAGATAATAAGACAAGTTAAAAGTTGCAATTCAACTTGAGTTTTGATGAAGCAATGAAAACGATTTTCCCATTCTTTCTAAAGCCGCGTTAATTTAAAACAAGTTCCTCATTCTTCTTAAAGCTAGGCCAGCTTGAAACAAGTTTCCCATTCTTTTTAAAGACGCATTAACTTCCCATTATGACATATGTAATCACTTGGATTTCGTATACGTTAGGCTAACATAAATTTCAAAAAAAAAAAAAAAAAAAAGTTTTCCTTAATTCCATAAATTAAATGTTTTCAGCAAACTATCAAGAACTAGACAATATCAACCAATCGTTTAAGAGAATTTTATATACAACTTCAAACTAAAACAAGTTCCAATGCAAGACTAATTTTAAAGGTTTTGGTCCGGATTAGGAATCGTAAAATTATGTAGGGAAATTATCAATAATACCTTTCAGGTTTTGGCTTTTATCAATGATACACATCATTAAACTTTCATTATCACCGGTACACCTAAACTTTTCCCTAATTTACTACAGTTAGCTTAACGTTAAGTAAACGTTAATTATACTTTGTTTAATGATGTGTATCAGTTTGCTTCTTCAATTGGGCAATTCTGTACTGTCTGTGCTGCTGCTTGTTGAAGAACTGACGATAAAATGGGATTGCTCACTACAAATTATTGGAGGTGGAGGATTGCAGCTAACTTCTTATCCAACAAAACCCACATCAGTAATACTCTTCTATTCAATTAATATTCTTCAAAATTTCTTCAATTTCCTATCTTAATTACCTAATTGCTTACAGAAATTTGTAAATTAGTGAATACCCACTATTGTTTTAGTTTCATTTTTGTAATTTGAGATACTATTTGGTTAATTTTATTGCTTAATTGTATTTCTTTAATTTTACATTGTTGACTATTGAGCTTTATTTGTTCAAATGGAAACACTTTTGGCCTCACCCAGCTAAACCTTATAAGATTATTACCATGAAATTAGAATTTTTAATCTTGATTTTGGGATGATGAT